AAAAACAAAATAGAAACAATTTCTCTAAATTGGGCAACTGAAATCAAAATGATATTAGATAGTCACGGTTTCAGTTATTGCTAGTTTGATATAGATATTCCGTTTGAAGAGATTAAGTTAAGAGTTATTGATACTTACAAACAAAATTGGTATTGTGAAATAAATAATTCGGGTCGCTTACATTTTTATTCAATATATAAACACACCGATTTTTTTTAGAGAAATATTTTTCAAGATGTTTGTGAACAAAAATTTAGAATAGCTTTAACTAAATACAGAATTTCAGCACATAATTTACGTATTGAAATTTTGGAAGATATGACGACACACCCGGCAAAGTCCGACTATGTACCTTTTGTAAATCTAATGCAAATTGAGGACGAAATATCATTTCTTGTTGATCTGACCCTTACTATAGAGATATAATGAATTACAATAGTTTGCCAAGGTTATTATTGCCATTGGCCAACAATCACTAAAGTTGGAAAGTATCTTATCATCTAATTCTAAAAAATGACTCAAAATTTATCAAGATTTTTTATACTTTGGCATTTAAAAGAAGAGGTAATTAACATTTTTCTCTTAATTTGTGTAGTAAAATTTATGTGATTTCATCAACAAAAAATATCAAATCAAGATTATATATTTTGTCTTATAACAAATATCCCTCCGCTAACACATATTTCATAACATGATGTTTTGCATATTGTTACTAATAACTATGTTACCTGTCTATTATTATGCTAGAAACGTTGTATAATGTTTAAAGCAAATAAACTGTATTGTATTGTATTGTATTGTATTGTATTGTATTGTATTGTATTGTATTGTATTGTATTGTAAACATTTGAATAGCGAATTAAACATACAATACAGACTTTGTGTAAATTGTATTCAATATAAACAACAAAAATGTATGAAAAATTAAAGAGATTTACATATTTCCCCCACAAAATGTCTAAGTGACACAGAGCCATTAGAGGACTGTCCGTTTTTGTTTGTTTTTTTTTTGTCATTTAAGAAATCTTAATTAAAAACGATTTTTTGAACTTTTAAAATCGTATCTTGTGTCGACAACGATACAACAAAATTCGTCCAAATATTTAGTAAGGATTGTTTGCAATGGTTATGTTAGTACTTGCACACCCGTTTGAAATGGTTCCAGAAAAAATCCAGTAGAAATTCATTGATTTTTCAGGTATTTGCAGTGGTATTTTAAGTTAAATGATGGTTTTATTTTAAAATATGTTGATTTTCTGTCTGTGACATGATTCATTTTCCAAAGCACCAACGATAAATTACCGAAATTTATATCGTGATTTCGGAAAGGTTTTCGGATGGTATCAAAGATAATAAATAAAGATAAATGATATTCTAATTTCTATTTTCATGTCAATTAGACATCCAATTTTCTGTTATGTAGCTAATATTTATCATGCACATTAGGTAATCTACACGATATATATATTTTATACTTATTTTGATTTAGCAGTAAGTGCTGTTGAATATAAATTATTTACAGTTCAAGTTAAAAAGCTGGCAAGGTGTTGACAATATATTATATAAGCTTATAATAAATTTAATGCAAAGTCTCATTGCAAGCTCTTATAAACATTTAACCGAATTAGGTGCTATGATGTTGAAAGCTTTTATGATTTAATAACAAGCATATAATTTTCAATATATATAGAAACCAGCCCTTTTCTGGACTTTGTAATTACTGCAAGGTACATTAAACAGAATCTCTTGCCATTGGAACTGACCATAACAGACAGGATAACATCATATTTATAAAGGTTATCACAAATAAAGTTAAGACTATACAAATATATGTCAGCAAATGATTTTGCAAGTTATAACTATATAACAGGTTTTTATGTTTTAGTTTCGAATGGCATAGAAATAAAGAAGAATGTGTGATTACAACCACATGAGATCAACCGGGTTTAAAACCCGTCAGGAATCATCGACCATGTGTCATCATTATCTAACAATCTAGGAGAGTTAATTGAGAAACTCCGAATATAGTGATATTACCTTGGTCGTTGAGGAGCGCGGAGATTTCAGGCTCATAAAGTTATTCTAGCTGCTAGATCAGAATATTTCAGGTACCTTTTTTGACATGCGTTAATGTTACCTATTACCTTAATAGTTTAAAATAGGATGAAATATATAAGTAATATATATTAACATGGTATTTTATTGTTTAAAGCAAAATCTAGTACCGCTTGTGTTTTAATGCATTTTCTTAAAAACATACGGTACATGTATTCATGTATATATTACATCACATCAATGTTTTGTGTAATTTATTTAAACAAAGGAAATCTGCTGGGGAATGATTATAAAGCAAATACTGTTATACAGTTAAAGTGTTAAAATTTGACAGTAATTAACAGGAAGGATGTTTCGTTAATGATATTGAATTTAATGATGATCATACATGTTTTCTTTTATACTTGTTTATCATAATAAAAAAAAAACAGACAACACTGAATAAGCAGTATAGCCTGTCATGTTTAACTCCATACCTTCTTGCAGAAACTGAATCTACCCAAACAATCGGTGCTGACCAAGATCATGGGGCACAACTGTGCTGTCTGATATATGATACCCTTCAGTTTAGATTAAAGTGACATTATGCTCATATTTTCATACTCATAGTCAAGTTGAGCTGAATTGACTTTATATTTCAAAAGATTAACTGACAAAATGGTGATTGACCAACAGTTGATATTGGAAAATGTTTTGAATAAAATCATAAATCAGCCTAAAATCTAAAAAGACTGCCCCACTCTTTTTATAAACTAAGGGTTAGGTGTAAATTCTAATTGATATTTACAGAAATTTCGTTGGGATCTCTGCGTTACTTATTGTTTATGCAAACTTAATAATTAAGTATAAAGGAATTATGGCGAAATGAAACTTATTTTGATATTCACCTGTTCACGCGTTATATACCCTTGGATGGGCATAATGTCACTTTAAATTTTTTAGCGACAATGGCTTATAGGCTACTAGTTTTTGTATTTTCTGAACGCAGTTCAGGAAATACAATGCTGACATTCAATCTCTGGCACAGAATTTCACGACAAACCTAACAACAAGTAGTTCTCAGAACAGCTTATAACTAGCGATGTAAAAGAAAGAAATTAATATTTTTATTTTGCTACAAGTATCCAACAAATAACAAGGCATTCAAAGTTTAAAAGTAGTGTTAGCTTATAGAATTGTCAATAAATGCACAATCACAAATTACGCGGATGAATATGATTTTAATCAATGAAAATGCTATTTTTAGCGATGTCGATTACCGAATACGACACAAATAAATCTGACTGCCGAGTAGTGGAATATATAGATTCTACATGTGGGACTGTTTGGGGCGAGAAGATTTTTCGCTTAAATTATTTTACTTCAATTTTAACAAAGGTTTATCCTGAACAATATACCTCGAAATTAATAAAGGAAAACAAACCCGAAAATGCAAATGGAAGTTCTAAATTTAGAATCACCTGATTTTATTCAGGCATTGTTTTTAAAACATCTCCGTGGTGCAGGGGTAAGCGCCGTTTAGTGTTGTGAGAGGTCTGGAGTTCAAATCCCAGTCTAGGCAACTTTTTTATAAATTCTTTTTTAGTGTCTTTGTTGAGGAAGTAGCCATGATATGCAAGGATAAAGTGAGGCTGTCAGAAAAAATGAACATAAATGATTTTTTTAATGCAACTCTAGTCTTGCAAGATGAATTATAGTACATAAAAATAAACTTATACAGGAAAATACATACAGATATACAGTACGATTTAGATTGCAAAGATCAGAAAATACCAGAGAGCTTGCAGCCCTTTGATTTCAAGTATTAGTCAGCTTCCCTCTCTATGTACATGTATGTATAATAAATTTGCCATTTATAAAAGTCAATCGTAGCATGTTTTAAAACAATGCATTATGGCAACACTAATTAATATCAATTTTGCATTGATGTTTTATTTTAGGGCAATGTTATTTGGTGGACTGAGGGAGTCACAGCCGGGAACCAGTGAAGTTAAATTACAGGACACATCAGCTAAAGCTTTTGAAGCTGTTCTTAAATATATGTATACAGGAAAAATGAATTTAATGGAAGTTAAGGTAAATTAAATATAAATATAACAACATGATATTATAACAAAAATATTCTTATAGTGATGTGAACAGGAAGAATCCCAAATGAGAAATGTATATATACCTGTAGATATTATACATTTATATATACATTTCTCATATATTTTTACCTTTATTTATCATCAAAAAACATATCAAATAAGTAATTTATATTTTATATGAAGCTACAAGTCTAATATTTAATTACATTTTCTCCTCTCAGTATTATAAACTTTTTTTTACTTTGGAAAAATGGAAAAATCTAGCCAAATGAGAAAATATTTAACTTTATTAATGACAGTTATAATGATAATTGTTATTTATTACAGGAGGAACATCTACTAGATATACTTGGTATGGCTCATAGGTATGGTTTCACAGAGCTAGAATCTGCAATATCCGACTACCTGAAGGCTATATTAAACATCAGAAATGTTTGTTTGATATATGATCTAGCCAACATTTATAATCTACACAGTTTATGTGAAACCTGTAAGGACTTCATGGATAGAAACGCATCACCGATTCTCCAGAGTGAAGCTTTCCTTACACTGTCCAAGGTGAGTTATCTGATGTATAAACACATCAATTAGTGATCCTTATTTATCTAATTGAGTCATGACTTAAATGCAGGAGATTTCCCAGTCTTTAACATATAAACAAATGATATATTAATGGAATTTATTTTCTCCTCTTAATGTTCATTTAAAATATTTTATTGGTTATATTCTGTTTGTGTTTGATATGAGGTTATATTCTGTTTGTGTTTGATATGAACTACAGAGGTGAAATGATATTTTCTGTTAACAGTATTGATTTATATTTGTATATTATATTTAGCACTGTTTACAGATGTATATTTGTATATTATATTTAGCATTCTGTGAAGGAGTTGATCTCGAGGGATTCGTTCTGTGCCCCAGAGATTGAGATATTTACCTCTATACAGAGATGGGCTTTAGAGAATGAAGGTGAAGATCCAACATCTATATTAGAGTCTGTGAGACTTGCTCTAATGTCCATGCATGAGTTACTGAATGCTGTTAGAGATACGTCATTTGTGTCACCAGATGCCATTCTTGATGCCATCAAGATTCAGACAGAGTGTAGAAATATGGAGCTGAAATATAGAGGCTTTAAATGTAAGAAATTGACTCATTATTGTTCAAGCTATGCTATGATAATTTTGTTGAAGAAATAGATATATTATAATATATTAAGCGTGTTTTGTAGAAAATAGCATGGTTTGAGTTCAAATGTGCAGGAATGTTATCTCAAAGGAGTGATTAATTACAAAGCATTTGAATGATAAATCATATGATACTGCAACGCAAGAAAAATGAATATCGAATTCCATTCTAACATGCTTATAAAAAAAGAGAATTGATAAATATATGTTTAAGTACATTGAGCATAGATGTAATTTTTGGCCGGGTTGCACAGGTGCAAAACCCGGGTTATAGTATTGTGAATGTCGGGCGGTGGGCGGCGGGCGGGCGGGCGGGGAAAAAAATTTTCGTAACAGTTTTCTCAACAACTACGTATCACAGCCTCTTGATATTTGGCATACAGCATTGACACATGGTCCCATACCGTGGGATTTGATTTCAGGTATGTCGCTCACCACTTCCTGTTTGGCCGGGTTGCACAGGTGCAAACCCGGGTTATAGTATGGTGAATGTCGGGCGGCGGTGGGCGGCGGGTGGGCGGGGAAAAATTTTTCGTAACAGTTTTCTCAACAACTACATATCACAGCCTCTTGATATTTGGTATACAGCATTAACACATGGTCCAATACCGTGGGATTCGATTTCAGGTCTGTCGCTCATCCACTTCCTGTTTATCCACTTAGTTAAATTAGGTTAGATTTTTTTGACATTAATGGTCAATGGTAGGAAGTTTTCGTAACAGTTTTCTCAGCAACTACTTATCACAGCTCTTGATATTTGGCATACAGCATTGACAACATGGTCCCATACCGTGGGATTTGATTTCAGGTATGTCGCTCATCCACTTCCTGTTTATCCACTTAGTTAAATTAGTTAGATTTTTTGACATTAATGGTCAATGGTAGGAAATTTTCGTAATAGTTTTCTCAGCAACTACTTATCACAGCCTCTTGATATTTGGCATACAGCATTGACACATGATCCCAATATATACCGTGGGATTGGATTTCAGGTCTGTCGCTCATCCACTTCTGTTTATCCACTTAGTTAAATAAGTTAGATTTTTCTACATCAATGGTAGGAAACTTCGTAACAGTTTTCTCAGCAACTACTTATCACAGCCTCTTGATATTTGGCATACAGCATTGATACATGGTCCCATACTGTGGGATTCGATTTTAGGTCTGTTTATCCACTTCCTGTTTATCCACTTAGTTAAATTAGTTAGATTTTTTGACATTAATGGTCAATGGTAGGAAATTTTCGTAACAGTTTTCTTAGCAACTACTTATCACAGCCTCTTGATGTTTCGCATACAGCATTGACACATGGTCCCATACCATGGGATTCGATTTCAGGTCTGTCGCTCATCCACTTCCTGTTTATCCACTTAGTTAAATTAGTTAGATTTTTTGACATTAATGGTCAATGGTAGGAAATTTTCGTAACAGTTTTCTCAGCAACTACTTATCACAGCCTCTTGATATTTGGCATACAGCATTGACACATGGTCCCATACCATGGGATTCGATTTCAGGTCTGTCGCTCATCCACTTCCTGTTTATCCACTTAGTTAAATTAGTTAGATTTTTCAACATTAATGGTCAATGGTAGGAAATTTTCGTAACAGTTTTCTCAGCAACTACTTATCACAGCCTCTTGATATTTGGCATACAGCATTGACACATGGTCCTATACTGTGGGATTTAATTTCAGGTCTGTTGCTCATCCACTTTCTGTTTATCCACTTAGTTAAATTAGTTAGATTTTTCGACATTAATGGTCAATGGTAACAGTTTTCTCAGCAACTACTTATCACAGCCTCTTGATATTTGGCATGCAGCATTGACACATGGTCCCATACTGTGGGATTCGATTTCAAGTCTGCAGCTCATCCACTTCCTGTTCACATTAATGGTCAATGGTAGGAAATTTTCGTAACATTTTTCTCAGAAACTACTAATCACAGCCTCTTGATATTTGGCATACAGCATTGACACATGGTCCCATACTGTGGGATTCGATTTTAGGTGTGTAGCTAATCCACTACCTGTTTACCTACTGAATTAAATTTTCGACATTAATGGGTCAATGGAAATTTTTTTCGTAACATCACAGCCTCATGATATTTGGTGTACAAATGCAACCCGGCCTTTTCTGTCTTTGACCCATTTTCTTGATGTCATTTGGTTAATTGAGGTCATATCTGACAATATGATGTGCAAGCATTCCATTTCCTAGTTTATGCTGTGCTTATATCGTGTTATAATACACTTGACAGTCCTATCTGTTTGAATAGGGAATAATGTGAAGGGTGTTAGAACATATAATATGGCATTAATTTAACATTTTCAAATGACATATATATTTCATTTAGATCAAAAAATGTAATAAAACAGATTACATACAATATTATTTGATTCTATTTTGGGTACAAGTAAGTCACTATAACAATTTTAGTTTTACGAAGAGAGTTTTCCTACTCAATCCGTAAATTTTATTTTATGTACTTTATTATGAAAATGTGTGAATTATAAATAAAATATTGTTTAAACTAATTTTAGTCAGTTGAAACCTTATCTGTATAGTCATGTATTAGACATTTTGAGGAATAGTTAATACTCACACAGAGAATGTATGTGATATTTTATATGATTGTTAGTACCGGAGGAGAATGTAGCAACAACGAGGCATGGAGCTCAGGTGATACGAGGAGAGATGAAAGCCGCACTACTGGATGGTGACACATCAACATATGACCTTGACCGTGGCTTTACACGACATTTGATTGATGACAACAACGGTCAGGGTATAGTGATCAAACTAGCACAGCCTTATATACTCAATACTATCAAACTGTTATTGTGGGACCGAGATCACAGGTGACTAATATATTCATTAACAAAAGAAAGAATAATATCACACTGGTCTTACATAATTAAGAACAACATTTAAGTTTGAAAAAAAAATTTTATTTCTGATTTAAAAAAAAAAAGATTTAATGTTAACTAATGATCTGAAAGATGAATTATAGTTTTAGTTATTTAGTTAATACAGTAAAAAAGAAAATTGGATGCACAACATTAAAGGTCATTATTTTGACCTCATTATGGCAACATGCATACCACAGGCACTAGACACAATTAATTTACCCATATACGCTCATAATACTATATATAAAGAATATTCTTTATTATATAGTATTATGAGCGTATATGGGTAAGTTAATTGTGTCTAGTGCCTGTGATGCATACCAAGCTTATAAGAAACATCATTGGCCTAAGTCTAATCTCATCTTAGTGTGTCACCTTGTTGAATTGCTATAAAGTGAATGCAGTTGAATTGTTCTATAAGCATAATTATATGAGAATGTGAATATATTTTTATTCAGGTCATATTCGTATTATATAGAAGTATCAATGGATGACAAAGATTATGAGAAAGTTATAGATTATACAAGATACTGGTGTAGATCTGAACAAACATTACACTTTCCAGCTAAAGTTGTCAGGTATGCTTTACTGTTTTATCTTTGAAGCTGCATGCCTCCAGATGAGCCAAATTATTCCAAGAAATTGGAAAAATGTAATGTACATTTCAAGAAAAGTTAACAGATTAAAAATTCATGTTATAATTGACATGTTATTTGCAATTAAGGACTGATTTGCGCATTATTTATCACCATTTTTTACTGCGTTAGACTAACATAGTAAGGACTATTTTCACTTACTTTGACCTCTTTTTGTTAATTTATGTTGATTGCAATTGCTGTTTGCATGTTTGCAATGTGTTGATTCTTTCCTTTGTTCACTAAACAATATTTTACTTTTACATGTTTTTAAAACTTTCATAAAAATTAGCATAAATCTATTGGCATCAGTAGAACACTAATTAAAATTGTAAATGCAATTCTTGTACAACATTTCATCTCATCAACTTCTTAAGATATTTACCTGAACCTTCACATGTGTCTTTGAAATCATAATAGGAGGTCACTTTACCAGGAAATTCCTGATTAAAGTCTTGTGTGCAACATCAATCCTTAAAACGACGGAAAGAAGTCCAGTGTTCAATCTAGACTGCGCTATTGCACCTATGGCTCCCTTAAGTACAAATGGGCACAATATATAAACTATAATGGGACCATTGGGCACAATCATCAATTAAAGAATTGGATCTTTTTTAAGTGATACTCTCTTTTTTTTTTAATCTCCATGTCACACAGATTCAAGTTAGACTAACTTAGTGCTCAAAACATAACTTACGCTTTATATTAAAATAATGTTTTATTTTATCATATTTAATTTTCAGGTATATAAGAGTTGTTGGTACACATAATACACAAAACAGGGTGTTCCATTTGGTATCTTTTGAATGTTTACATACAACAAAACCTTTCCGTCTCGAGAGAGGCCTAATAGGTGAGTTAATGTAATAACAGTGTGTGTTGCATACAGTGTTTATTCTTTAGATTCCTAAATCATTGTCACACTGTTTATTGATCATTCAAATGATTTTAGATGATTATGTACAAAACAAGGCAGCCAGAATGGTAAAAGTCTGTTAAAGTTTCTTGTTAGAACAATCAGGCATGACTTTTCCTGATGTTAAAGGCTTGTCTTGTGTGTTCTGGTTGGGTTTTCAACACACCATATGGTGACTTTATGCTTTATTGGTGGAGGAAGATCTCAAGTGCCAATAGTGCATTATTTCAAAACGGGCACCTTTCTCGTAAGATAGCTTTCTCGTAAGAAAGAACCCAAAGTCCCTGGTGGGATTCAAACCCACAGCAGTGAAGTTGCAAGTGTTTTGAAGTCAACAACATTAACCACTAGGCCACAGACTACCAGTTAAAGACTTACTACTACAATTTCATGAAATAAATAAATAGCCCATTGTACTTGTATGCATGTTAATGGTAATCATTTGTCCAATTATTGCTTTATTTACATGCAAATCATAACCAATTGTCCAATTATTGCTGTAATGAACTCTACAGGTAATTTAGTTCACCAATAACTAACACTGGTCATCAAGTTTAAGATAATTACTGATGTTATTTATGTACATATTTGTGATTTGATTACAAGATTGTTAAAAGTATATAATTGTGTTATTTGTTGTAGTGCCTGATGAGAATGTAGCAACCATATCAAGGAATGCGTGTGTCATAGAGGGTGTTAGTCGCAGTAGAAATGCTCTCTTGAACGGTGATACACATCAGTATGACTGGGACTCTGGTTATACCTGTCACCAGCTGGGTAGTGGAAATATCATTATACAGTTACCACAACCTTTTATGCTAGATTCTATGAGGTAAAAATCAGATTTCCTGAATTTTTCATTAGATACTGTGAAATCATTTGTAATTGTGGGCATGAAATTTCGTGGTTTTATCAAAACTGGCAGTTTCGTGGGTTCTTAGTTTTGTGGATTTTCATTTTCTTGTAAAAAAAGCAATGGAAAGTAATATTTCACTTAATCACCACGCTGTTTTGCTTACCGCCTGTATATAACACGGCTCTTGTCAATAAATTTAATCCTTGCCTCTGGGAGCAACACAGTAACTGTCGATAATTGACTTCAATTTACACGTTTGTGTTACATGATAATTATGCAGCTCCATTGGTAACACTGCCCCTATAATTGGCCAATGTAAACATGGCATAAATTATACGACATCTGCCACTTTTTAACCAGCGAGTAAAAAAATTTACACCCTGTATAATGAATTGGTCCAAAACTACACACTACGTCACATCGACTGTGTAAATGTATACTGAAACAAAAAAGAAACTTTCTCCAAGTTTGGATGTAGATATGTTAGTACAGTTTTTCAATCCTTTTGAAACTCGATTTTTACATTGAATAAACATATCCGGCTTTTAAACGGGGATTAGCTGTCCGATTTTGCAAACAAAATGAGTTTTACAAGCTACTAAATGTATATAATATGTTTGTATGTATCTAGTAAGAAGACGGCGGCTTCTTTGATATTTTCGGAATAGCAAATACATATTGAAATTTATTTAAATGGCTAATATAAACACTAGTCTTGTAAAGTTTTATCGGCGCTAATTAATGCACTGGGTTCCCATATTTACCCAAATATGCCATGTACTCTAGCTAACACAATCAAGTAGCCTACAATGATCAAGTAGTCCCCATGCGACAAACTGAAGAAATACAATCAATTTTTTCAAATCCTTAAATATTGCAAAACTAAACTATTTGTGGATTTAATTTCTCACTGACCTGATTATTTGTATACATTCATACCATAACAATCGGCCGGAAAACCGCTGGCGCATGTTGCGATATATGGAACAGAGACATGGTAAGAAGTATTTGTTGAGATAAAATTTTGTCGGGTCTTAAATTCGTGGATGGATCTATCCATGAAAACCATGAAAATTTGTGCCCCACGAATAACAATGATTTCACAGTAATCTAAGATAATTATATGTCATTTGTGCCCGTCATTTGTTAATTATGTCTCCCCCACCTCGGGGGGAGACATATTGTTTTTGCCCTGTCAGTCCGTCCGTCCGTCAGTCCGTCCGTCCGTCAGTCCGTCCGTCCATTCTTCGTTTCCAGACGATAACTAGAGTTCCTTTTGACCTACAGCTCTCAAACTTCATAGGATGAATGGTCTTATTGAGCAGATGATCCCTATTGTTTTTGGGGTCAGTAGTTCAAAGGTCAAGGTCACAGTGACCGTTGGTCAATTTCTCGTTTCCGGATGATAACTAGAGTTCCTTTTGACCTACAGCCCTCAAACTTCATAGGATGATTGGTCTTATAGAGCTGATGATCCCTATTGTTTTTGGGGTCAGTAGTTCAAAGGTCAAGGTCACAGTGACCGTTGGTCAATTTCTCGTTTCCGGATGATAACTAGAGTTCCTTTTGACCTACAGCCCTCAAACTTCATAGGATGATTGGTCTTATAGAGCTGATGATCCCTATTGTTTTTGGGGTCAGTAGTTCAAAGGTCAAGGTCACAGTGACCGTTGGTCAATTTCTCGTTTCCGGATGATAACTAGAGTTCCTTTTGACCTACAGCCCTCAAACTTCATAGGATGATTGGTCTTATAGAGCAGATGATCCCTATTGTTTTTGGGGTCAGTAGGTCAAAGGTCAAGGTCACAGTGACCGTTGGTCAATTTCTCATTTCCGGATGATAACTAGAGTTCCTTTTGACCTACAACCCTCAAACTTCATAGGATGATTGGTCTTATTAATCAAATGATCCCTATTGTTTTAATGGTCAGTAGGTCAAAGGTCAAGGTCACAGCGACCGTTGCAGTGGGGGAGACATGCGCTTTTTTACAAAAGCATCCTCTAGTTATAGCATATTGTGCCTGTTTTAGAATGGGCAAACATGAGTTGGATAAAGATTCAGTTAATGGCTTCAGTATGTTAGAGGTTAATAAAAAAGTAAAAAAAGAATTCTTAGCTATTGTATATATACTTTATAGACCAAAACTAGGTACTGACTTATTCTTTCAACATTTTCCTAGTAATCAATCCAAGGTAAAAACTGTTGAATTATATTTATGAAAAATAAACTGGACATTTGTCACGTTTGTGTGTATACATATAAATACAACAGGAAAAAGACAGTTATAGGTTTGCTATGATCTTTTATATATACAGGATAATATGATTTATGATATTTTATATATACAGGATGTTATGATTTATGATGTTTTATATACAGGATGTTATGATTTATGATGTTTTATATACAGGATGTTATGATTTATGATGTTTTATATACAGGATGTTATGATTTATGATATTTTATATACAGGATGTTATGATTTATGATATTTTATATACAGGATGTTATGATTTATGATATTTTATATACAGGATGTTATGATTTATGATGTATTATATACAGGATGTTATGATTTATGATGTTTTATATACAGGATGTTATGATTTATGATATTTTATATACAGGATGTTTTTATTTATGATATTTTTTATGATTTATGATGTTTTATATACAGGATGTTATGATTTATGATGTATTATATACAGGATGTTATGATTTATGATGTTTTATATACAGGATGTTATGATTTATGATGTTTTATATATACAGGATGTTAAGATTTATGATGTTTTATATACAGGATGTTATAATTTATGATGTTTTATATACAGGATGTTATGATTTATGATATTTTATATACAGGATGTTATGATTTATGATATTTTATATACAGGATGTTATAATTTATGATGTTTTATATACAGGATGTTATGATTTATGATATTTTATATTCAAGATGTTATGATTTATGATATTTTATATACAGGATGTTATGATTTATGATGTTTTATATACAGGATGTTATGATTTATGATATTTTATACACAGGATGTTATGATTTATGATGTTTTATACACAGGATGTTATGATTTATGATATTTTATGTACAGGATGTTACTATGGGACTGTGATGATCGTTCATATTGTTATTATATAGAGGCGTCTGTAGACAACACAAACTGGACTATGATATGTGATAAAAGAAATACACCATCCAAGTAGGCATTATTTTGCATTCTATATTGTTGTTGTTGTTATTGAAAGTTCAGTCTGAAAATAGAAAATAATATGGAGGTATAGTATTGTATAATAAGAATGTCTCTATTAGACTGAAGACCAGACTTTATGATATACAACTGTATGTTCTTTTAAATCAAGTAAATTTATAAAGGTTGTCAATGAAAAAAGTTCATACATTGCTCTATTACATGTATGTGTGTAATTGTTTAGTTTTCATCATGATGATTTGTATAATTACAGAGAGAAATGATTGTTCATGGATTTATAAGATAATTGAATATGTCATTTAGTAAATAAGATATTTATATATGTCATTTAGTAAATAAGGTATATTTATTCATGGCTTGAAATGATCAAAGATATGCATACCACTTTAAGCTCACCTGAGCACAGAAAGTACTCCTAAATCACATGGTAAATTTTGATCAGACATTAGATTTTGTGATGGCATGTGGTCTGTTTCTTGTCATTATCCATAATTTCTTTTTTAAACACCATATCTTCCTAAATCATTTGAAGGATTGTGAACAAACTTCACAGGAACTATTCTTATGTAACTTCCTAAAAAAGATAATGTAACTGGGTCCAATCTGATGAATAAGTAGGTCACTGAAGCTGAAAATAGACTTGTGAAAATCAAATAATTAAATCTGTATTTTTGCCATTTAGTTTTCATACAAGATGAAGTGTATTCGTACTGTGTTATATATTTGCAGATCGTGGCAGGAAATTACATTTCCAAAACAACCAATAGCTTTTATAAAGATAGTTGGTACTCATAACACAGCCAACGAGGTAAGATATATATTCATTGTTAAATGGTTAAAACGTTTCGTAACATAGCAGCATGATATTTTGTTCAGGAACATTTTATTCTGTTCAAATTTTATTCTGTTTACCTACAATAGTCATGTGTATTAAATAACAGAGACATTAATATCACAACTTTTCAAAAATCCACTGTTAGATTATGGAAACTATTTTTACTGTTGATAAATTTTTCATATATTTCATAATATATAGCTTTATACCCTTAAAGTCTGCTTACATTTTACATATAGCTTAAGAAAGATATAATATATAATAATAAAAATAAATAATATATTGGTCACAATTCACTGACAGGTAAGTCTGTTACATCTGGTCAATAAGATGAGAGTTAAAGTTTATTTATTACATAAATGTTTGTCATACAGGTATATATTTTACAGGTATTTCATTGTGTACATTTCGAGACACCATCAAAGTCTGCTAAAATATCAGTAACAAGATCATCACCACCAGGTAGTCCATGTACGGTATCCGAGGTGAACCAGACAGAACCAAGTCTCTCACCTAGACCTTCAGTATGTAGAAATCCTGGTAGTCCTCAACTAGCTGGCTTCCTGCCACAACCTGGCAACCATTTAGTTGGTGCAAGTATGGCGGTGAATGTGAGTGGTGATTTAGGTCAGGATAGTTTAGATATACCTGAGTCAGAGAGACAAGAGTCTGACAGTAGTTCTAGCGGTGGTTCTGAAACTGAGAGAAGATAGTAGTTGTAGTGGTGGTTCTGAAACTGAGAGAAGATAGTAGTTGTAGTGGTGGTTTTGAAACTGAGAGATGATGTTTTGTTGAATAATGTATTCATATAACTTCTGCTTTCTGGTTTGCTAACATATAACAGTATTTTATAGTTGTTGTTGGTATATAACCAGGATGGTATAACTGTAATGGTATAATGTAATGAAAAAAATGTTCATTATTACATGGAAAATTCAATTTGTATGTAACAATATCCTCTATTTAAACGTATATAGAACTGACTTGGTGCTTTTTGAAGTACAAAGTCAGTAATGCAATACGACAATGTATTGTAGAATATCTAACTGTAGAAAACAATGTAACATGTAAATGTACAGACAAAACTTATCTGCTTAAATTTCTGCAGATTTTACATCTGTTGTTTTGCAAAAATAAACTTCCTGCAGAAATAAAGTTTTTTTCATAAATTGTGAATTCAAATCAAAATTCAAAAACTTAAAAAAAAATGTTTTCTAGACTACATACACAATATAACATGACAATGAATTTTGATATCAATTTGTCCCAGTTTTTGACCCAGTGACTTAGATTATTGTATTTAGTAGTACTAATATGAAATTTTGACTATGTCACTGTTTTATATGCTGAATTGATCTTTGATAACAGCTGACCTGTATTTTATCTTGTGAACTACTTTCTTGTTTTTGGAGCTAGAACCTTTAAATTTGTACTTGATACACAATTTGATATGCCAATAATGTTTATAACATGCGACCTAAACTATGACCCAGTGATCTCTTTATTGTTAGATTGACTTATGAAATTTGGACTATTTGCACAATATTAGAAGCAGACTTGAACTTTATATCAGTTGTACTTGATTTATACCTTATGCTTGCTGTTCATTTCTAGTAATCAATATTATTTGTCCCTTGTCATTTAGAGCCTTTACAGTGAGGCCATTAATGCCTTCTTGTTGGAAGTATATGCTAGCATATATATAGTTATATGTATATAAGAACATGTCGTAAGTTACGACTCGTAACAGTGGATTAAATATGTGTGTTGTATATATTATGTATATATTTGATTGTTGTAGTTATGATTATGCATCAGAAAACCTGTAACAATGGTCAGTAAATGTACATAGTTTCTGTGTTGGAAGTTTATACTTACATTTATCACAGGATGTCTCTTGTTTTGCATGTAATATAACCATTATATATTTCTTTATTTTACACATGTGTATATCATTTTGAGGTCATTTTTGTCTATACATTTCATAACAAAACAGGATATGAAAGCTCTTATAAAACATCAAAACATCAAACTAGTTCATTTTCAATAATTTCAAAATGTGTTTAGTAATATGATAAAAAAATCTCGGATTCTTTGTTGTATAATTTAAGTTTTATTAAACTGTCCAAAAGACTTGCTCTATTATAATTTCTTGATGTTGTTTAAAAAAATCTTATATTATATGGCAACTCATACTGATATATTTTTTTCCACTTCTGCTCTGATATGATAATGACATTTTACAGCAAGTTGTAACAAAAACACATTTTGTCAGATAATAGTTTCAGTGCTTAAAAATCTCTTTACATTGATGTTGTTCATTAATGTATAACATATATATAAATTTTTCTACAATTTATTGTTATATAAGAAACATGCATGTATGTAAAACTGTGTGCATTTTATTGCTAAATTTGTAACGCACATTATAATGTTTACAACCTATTATTATTTGTTCCACATGTAATTTTTTAATCACATGACTTCCTTCCTTTCTATGTAATGAAACTCCTTTATATTACACACATGTAATAATATTTTCCTGAATTTGTTTCAAAACAATTTACATAAATTGATGACATATGTTGGCGATATTGTGATGCCCCAAGAGTAAGTTGTTATTTTCAGTACATGATACTTCAGTTGCCTTTGTTTCATTGCTTACCCTGATTCTTGTTCATACCTAGGTTTAGAGCATAGAGACATGATCCTGCATTTGTTAAGGTCTCATCTGAAAGACCATAGTATTATAAGCTGAGGAGCAGTGGATCGAACCTGTGACCAGGATTACTAGTCTAGTATGTTACCACTTGACTGTAGATCCCCTCCACAAAAAACAAGGTGTGACAGGACAGTAACAGTAAAGAATGTCAGAGTGTAGTTTTAGGTTAAAATCTGGGAGTGTCTATTGCACAATTTTAGAGGATGTTATGTTTAATTGAATATCTTCTAGTGTTACAGAATAATATCTCTTAGAACCTATTATATATATATAATAGTGTTTACTAAGTTTCTATATGTAGTCTACAATAAATGCAGGTTCATAAGATTGTAAATTAGGAGAACTTTTGTAGGTGATATCATTTACATATTTTCTTCACATTCTTAGAAATATATTGCCTATTTTTGTACATAAGTAATTGTTTTTGTGTATATATAAAGGCAAAAACATCATTTTGTTATGACGAAATGTGCTTCATGTTTTTATCAGAAATTAAAACTTGCTTCTAAAATTTCATTATTTCTTTTACCTGAAGATTGTTTTTGTTTAAATTAATTTTTCCTGTATACATTACGTTTTATCATAATGTTGAAATATATTTTTTGTTGACAATTACAGAAAGTATTATATTATAAGTTAAGTTTAGTAAACTACCCTTAAATGTAAAGTACAGCTGTCCAGAAACGTATATTATAACAAACATACTTATTATACACTAAATCATTTCACCAAGTACCTGCCTGACCCTAAGTACTTACCAATGTGGTATTGGGAGGGGAAGGGTGTTGTCCTCCATTTAAGTTTGAAGTATTACTTCTAATATACAGAAACTAAATGAAAAAAAAAACAGATTTAGTTTTTTTTTCTTTTATAAAAGTGGACAAGAATGAAAATAATGTATAGTGTACACCTGTAATAATACTGATTTTTTTTTATCATTGTAGTTGAGAAATAAACTTTTAGTGAACTTGCTCCAAGTTTTCATCACAAGTCCGCAGAAATAGAAATATGTAAACTTTGTAAACAAACAGTAGCAGCTGTTATTGATAATCTAATATAATACAGACATATTGATCTTATGTATACATGAAATTGTTCAACAACAAGTTCAATAAATTTAGAAATGAAGCTATGTGAATATATCATATTCTGTGTATTAACCCTTTCGCTGCCAGAGGGTTATTGTTTTATTTTTCACCTATTTGCCAGAGGGTTTTCTAAGAAATTACTATATTTTTAATTAATATAATTATTATTATTTGTTATTAGTATTATAATTATTATATATGTTTCCAAATCTGTTAGTATAATAATAATTATTGTCGATGGTATAATTTTCTTTATATTTATTATTATTTTTATTATTATCATTATTAATTTATTATTATTACTATAATTATTAAAGAAACGGCTAAAGCCGTCCATATGGCAAATACGCCGAAAATAACGGGACGGCTTAAGCCGTCCCTATGGCAGTGAAAGGGATAAATATCATAAATAAGAACTGTTTATTATGATAAAAAAATAAATTTGTACTGAGGTGCTTATAGTGTAATGTTTATTCCAGTATTTAGAATATCTTAATTCCATGTTTGTATAATGCAAATAATGTCATGTCAAAATATATGCACAGCTGTGCAGTACAGCTTATCTGTCACATATGGTCTTAACTTTTCTTCATAACTTTAGATATAGAAGTTGCACTACTGCAGAATTTATAAAATTGTACAGTGATATTCTTCCAACTTTACAATAATGAACAAACATTTCACATAAAACATTAGCATATGATTATTTTTACATAGAAGCAGTGCCAGAATAAAAGAGACCTTGTTAAATATATTCAGTTGTATAACACAAGGATAAAAAATGATGCTTTATGAGTTTTAGAATAACTCATATATATATAATAAGAGTCTACTAAATTATAGGAAATAATAGCTAAAAGCTTTCGTACATATATGTTTAAATGTCTCATATATTGTTACTATGTTTTTATGTACAGTTTTTGTTCTTACCTTCTGTGATATATTAGTTGTATTTATAACGTGGTTATGCCATTCTGTAATGCTTTACTTATTCATTATATATAATTTAACATACAAATACATGAATAAAACAAGCTTTATTGGTATATCTAATATAAAGTTGATTGTGAACATGTATATAAACAAGTAGTTGATTTAATTGCTTGAATAGATGTCATTATTTTTAACAGTTCATATTATATCAATATGATGGTTATCATCAGTATTATGATAGGGCAAGATCACATGTATCCTGAAAAACAACAACAGTTTATTGATATTTTAATTAATGCTCTAACTGTTTGAGAACAATGTTTCTTTTCTGCTTTTCTGTACATCAGTCTGTACACATGTTTGATAGTTTGTGTTGATCAACTTTGTATTTAATGTTTTTTTTCTTTGTTCTGTTGAATTTATGAAAAAAAAATCAAAATAAAAGAGTTTTAGTACATACATGTATTTCTTACACTTTATTCATCTGCCTGATGGATGTTATTTACAGTCAAAACATACATTGAATTTTTATCAGCAATATCATACACTTTTCATATTAATCAGTTGAATTTGCAAATGTTGGCAAATATTGGCATATTGGTTTAAAAGAAAAAAAAAAGTTATTGTTGAGTTTAAATGATATCAGGTTACTTATATTGAACTGTTTGTTTATCTTAAAGTTGACTATTGATAAGATATGGCTCAGTATATGTAAGATGAAGTTTTATGATGGCTAGGTGTCAGTCAGTATCATACATATGTCGTCAGAGTCATACAAATGTCGGTGTCATACATATGTGGGTGTCATACATATACTGGTGTCATACATATGTTGTCAGTGTCATACATATGTCAGTGTCATATATATGTTGTCAGTGTCATACATATGTTGTCAGTGTCATACATATGTTGTCAGTGTCATATATATGTCAGTGTCATATATATGTTGTCAGTGTCATATATATGTCAGTGTCATATATATGTCAGTGTCATATATATGTTGTCAGTGTCATTCATATGTCAGTGTCATATATATGTTGTCAGTGTCATTCATATGTCAGTGTCATATATATGTTGTCAGTGTCATTCATATGTCAGTGTCATATATATGTTGTCAGTGTCATTCATATGTCAGTGTCATATATATGTTGTCAGTGTCATACATATGTCATCAGTGTCATACATATGTCGGTGTCATACATATGTCAGTGTCATTCATATGTCATCAGTGTCATACATATGTCAGTGTCATACATATGTCATCAGTGTCATACATATGCCGTTGGTGTCATACATCTGTTGATGTCATACATATGTCATCAGTGTCATACATATGTCAGTGTCATGCATATGTCGTCAGTGTCATACATATGTCATCAGTGTCATACATCTGTTGGTGTCATACATATGTCATTAGTGTCATACATATGTCAGTGTCATACATATGTCGTCAGTGTCATACATTATGTTGTCAGTGTCATACATATGTCATCAGTGTCATACATATGTCATCAGTGTCATACATATGTCAGTGTCATACATATGTCGTCAGTGTCATACATTATGTTGTCAGTGTCATACATATGTCATCAGTGTCATACATATGTCATCAGTGTCATACATATGTCATCAGTGTCATACATATGTCATCAGTGTCATACATATGCCGTTGGTGTCATACATCTGTTGGTGTCATACATATGTCATCAGTGTCATACATATGTCAGTGTCACACATATGTCGTCAGTATCATACATATGTCGGTGTCATACATATGTCAGTGTCATTCATATGTCATCAGTGTCATACATATGTCAGTGTCATACATATGTCATCAGTGTCATACATATGCCGTTGGTGTCATACATCTGTTGGTGTCATACATATGTCATCAGTGTCATACATATGTCAGTGTCACACATATGTCGTCAGTGTCATACATATGTCATCAGTGTCATACATTATGTTGTCAGTGTCATACATATGTCATCAGTGTCATACATTATGTTGTCAGTGTCATACATATGTTGTCAGTGTCATACATATGTCGTCAGTGTCATACATATGTTGTCCTTATTGCCAGTTTGTTAGAACAACTTCAACAAACTTTACCGGAACATCCCTTCTAAGGTCCTGTACAAAAGTTACATAATGGTTCCACTCACTAAATCTATTGCCTAAATTTGTTTCAATTGACTTTAAAAATGAAATCTTTTAATATCTTCAAAATGACAACACTGCCCAAAATATATAGATTTAGTGGCATGTAGCATCACAAAATAAAAAGCAGCTTCGCCCTGGGGTGTCATTTAATTTAAATGGAAATATATAGGAAAATACATTAAATGTTTTCTAATGAGACTACTACAATGACTCGAACTTCAACTGCAGTCATAACATAATCGCAACTTTCAATCACTACAGAGATAGTTGTAGCCTGTAGCATTGCCTTGTGAACATCTTTTATTGTTTATTAATCGTGAACTTGAAGTCAAAAATGGCTGTTCCCTAGAGGGAGGGAGCACTTGATTTGTGTGGCCTCACATAATCTTTTCTTCCGAAACTACTCTGCTAAAAGCATAGCTACTTGACTTGTAGCATCAGCTTGTTTTACTCTACAAAAGTTATATGTATATATAATGTATAGGTTCTTTTTAGCCCTGTACCTGAGAACACTTGATTTATACAGAGGAAGAAAAATTAAATCGTTTAGTGTTAAACTTTTATGTCTAGAGCTAAGATATGCGTCATAAAGCATGGAACTAGATTAAAAAAGTGTTGTCCACTCTTTGGTCAGGCTAATATAGTTAAAACATAAAAACTTAAAAATTTAAAACCAACTTTAAAAATTTAAAGCCAACTTCTTCGAGGACAGTCCAATAGCTATCTGATTAAAATCAGCTCCTAAATAACAGTATGCATTAGGATCAGACTAACACAAATAGCTTGCCACCTTGTGAAATAAGTATATCTTAACTATAGTCAGATTGGTCCATTAGCAGATGAATAGCCTATTGTAAGATTAAACTGACGTATTGTAACGTAAAACTAGCGTATTTGTAACGTAAAACTGCTACTATGTGTAACATAGAATTGGCCTATGTATAACTTATACTAGTAACTGCCATACTGCTACGTATTACCGGTGTATTGTAACTTATAACTGGTGTATTGTTACTTATAACTGGTGTATTGTAACGTATAACTGGTGTATTGTAACGTATATATGGTGTATTGTAACGTATAACTGGCGTATTGTAACGCAAAACTGACTTATGTTCAACGTATAACTGGCGTACTGTAACGTAAAACTCACCTATGTTTAACGTATAACTGTCGTATGTTTAACGTATAACTGTCGTATATTGACGTATAAATGCCATATTGTAAACTATAACTGACCTATGTTTAACGTATAACTGACCTATGTTTAACGTATAACTGTCGTATATTGACGTATAAATGCAATATTGTAACGTATAACTGACCTATGTTTAAGGTATAACTGACCTATGTTTAACGTATAACTGGCGTATTTTTAAGTATAACTGACATAATGTAACGTATAACTGACCTATAACTGACCTATGTTTAACATATAACTGGCCTAAGTTTAACGTATACCTGACCTATGTTTAACATATAACTGACCTATGTTTAAGGTATAACTGACCTATGTTTAACGTATAACTGTTGTATTTTAATGTATAACTGGCGTATTGTAACGCAAAACTGACCTATGTTTAACGTATAAGTGACCTATGTTTAACGTATAAGTGACCTATGTTTAACGTATAACTGACTTATGTTTAACGTATAACTGACTTATGTTTAACGTATAACTGGTGTACTTTAACGTATAACTGGCGTAATGTTACGTATAACTGACCTATGTTTAACGTATAACTGACCTATGTTTAACGTATATATGGTGTACTGTAACGTATAACTGGCGTAATGTAACGTTTAACTGACCTATCTTTAAAGTATAACTGACCTATGTTTAACATATAACTGGCGTATAGTAACGCAAAACTGACCTATGTTTAACGTATAACTGGCGTATTGTAACGTTTAACTTGCGTATTGTAACGCAAAACTAACCTATGTTTAACGTATAACTGGCGTATTGTAACGTTTTGGCGTATTGTCAAGCAAAACTGACCTATGTTTAACGTTTAACTGGCCTTTGTTTAACGTATAACCGGCGTATTTTAACGTTTAACTTGCGTATTGTAACGCAAAACTAACCTATGTTTACCGTATAACTGGCGTAATGTAACGTTTAACTGGCGTATTGTCAAGCAAAACTGACCTATGTTTAACGTTTAACTGGCGTATTGTAACGCAAAAGTGTATAACTTATAACTCGTCTATTATAACGCAAAACTGATGTATTATTACGTAAATCTGCCATATATTAACTTATAACTGGGGTATGTATAACGTATAACTACACTTGTTTTTTTGCAATTTTTCCGTATAAATGACAATGGGTACTAACTGTTGCTATATTTTTTAATCAAATATGTCCTTGAGATATTAATTTGGGGTATATATGTTGGATGTTGTTAAATGTTATCAAGTTAAGTTAAATTTTAATTATGCGGTCGTATGATGTTATAAAGTTATTTACATACAATGTATATGTATATACATAAGTCTATATCTTAATTTTGTTTGTAATGTAGCGTTAGTGTTAGAAATATTTTACCTCATATTGTAAGTCCGTGTCAGAGCATAACATTTCTCATCGTCATTATTGAATAGCTAAATAATTGTGTTACTACAAGAGAAACTGAATTATCATTATCAAACAACATTAACATGTTATCTGACATTTTACCTGTTGTTCTCTTTGCGATATTATTTACTTTGAGATGGCCCCGTTGTAGTTTCAACGCAATTAATCATTCCTGTGAAAAACGTCGACGGTCACGTTATAATAGACAGTTGTATTATTACGTCATTTTATACGATAACGTGGTACTACAGTGTACTAAACTAGCACAGTGCAATCATTGAGATGTCATTTCGTCATATTGATTTGAGATACTAACAGTTCCACTTATGTTGTTATCTCCTAAATAGATAGCAAAGTTGTGCGTTTGAAGGAGTAATTAAGGAATACACATGTTAACTTGCTCCACATCCGGGAACGTACGGAATTTATCAGGTAAGTAGTGTAGAATTTTTAGTATATTCTTTATGAGTGTAAGAAGTACAGTATTTTAAAATACACACGTATTTGATGTCTTAAGTTGAGATATTTAAATTTATATGAAATATATAATATTCACCCCTACTTTGACGCACGTGTAACAAATGAACAAACGTGGTAATACTTTATAACTGTTATTTAGCACACACCGGCTAATCATTACAGTAGTTTATGTTAAATCGATGATAAAACATTGTTGATTTCAGGAAAATAATTCTCGGAAAGTAATTCTCGGAATGGAAATTAAATCTTAATGTTTCTGTGGTGAAAACATAGTTAATTAGTAACAAGTGTTGTGTGTGACAGTATGTGTTATCAAACGAACATGTTTTCTCACGTAAAAATTTACATATATATGTGAATGTGTTTTTTCATCAGTACTGTATAGTTTAATTACTGTCACGAACGATGTGTATGACTATAAATGTAACACAGTAATTATATATAACAGCTTAATATCTTATACACTTAGTTGACAATGTTAAAAGGTTCTGTTCTAATTTATTGTTTTATTGTAGAAGTGACACGTGACTTACCCATGACGTCATGATGAGAAGTGTTAGGATACTATGTCTTCCAGTAGCCTCACATTCCGGTTTATTATTATATTGTCATGCTTGACAATACTCAATATGACATTTATTGGACTATCTTGGCACCAGAAATCTCGACAGATCCTGGCATGTACGGTGGACAGTGTGATAGATGGCGCTGCGAAGTATATCCGTCAAAATGGCGCACTTTCATTTGAAGATACGTTACCAGAATCATGCCGAAAACTTGAAGAAAAAGTAGACACCTTAGAATCCTTCAATAATGCCATAAAAGATATATTCAAATCTTGTACAATTAGCAAAGCAAATCGTCTGGCTAAGATACATGACTCATACCCAGTGATCACCTTGTTTACAACATGGACACCAGATGTATCGAAAGATCGGCTACATACATTAACATTGCAGAATTGGGCAAATCTTTCACCAAAAATACAAGTTGTGGTCTTTACCAATTCCAGTGATGATAAAAAATTAGCAAAATTATTTGGCGCCAAAACTTTGCCCATCTTACGTCACGGAGGCGGCGGTGCTCCAGTATTGAAGTGGATGTTCCAAACAGTGATGAAAAAGTATAATACTTCAAAATTATTTGGTTATGTTAATGCAGATATCATGTTTACAAAGAAACTAACACATACACTTGAAGGTATATTAAACATAAAGGATATGTCCAAACCAATTTTTCTAGTCGGACGACGTGTTAACGTCGATGTGAATATTCTTCTGAATGCAACGGATTTATTTTCTAATCTGGAAAAAATATCTAAAGAAAATGGAGTATTGTTTGGTGCTAATGCTGAGGATTATTTTATAACAAACGCGGCTTTTCCATGGGAGGAAATTGTTGATGTAGTTATTGGACGTCTCGCTTATGATAATTGGATTGTTGGTCACGTGATATGTGGTATGAACATTGACGTCATAGATCTCACTGAAACCGTGCTGGCTGTGCACCAGACGACGAAAAAAGGCGGGAATTATGAGGGCTTTAAAAATAAACATGCTCATTATAATAATGCACTTTTCAAAAAGTTAAAAATCATTCCAATTTTTGACACCGGTTTTACAATTTGTTCTCAGGAATTGACAAAGTATAATTTATGTGATGATATTCAGGTTATTAAAAGAGAGACATTCTGGGAGAAATGTAAATGTCCAACCAAAGTGTTGTTTTAATTCACAAATGATACATGTTGTTTAGTATATAATAATTTAAAAAGTGACTTACGTTTGGATTTAAAAGTTAGCAATAAGAAGATACAGTGTCTTCGTTGGTTATGTGTAGTTAGAATAGAACATGTAATATGCTGGAATTAAAGCTTCTGTTTCATAATGCCATTAGTAATGTTCTAATTTATAAACGTTCCGAGTTGTTTAACACTTTGGGACACTTGTTGTCACTGAGCTAATACACCATACTGTTACTGATAAACTTATGTACCTAGTAAATACTTCATACCCAGATAAAATAATACTTGATACTTAAATTGATACGAGGAAGGTATAAATGTCTGACCGTACAATAACTCTCTGAAAGAGGTTGCTATTGTTTTACTTGTTGTCACTGAGTAGATATAATGAAAGTAAAACCACAACAATCTTCATCTTTAATGACAGTTGCCAGCCTATTCTTGTCCGCATGTAGTTGTCAGCATGTAGTTGTCAGCATGTAGTTGTCAGCATGTAGTTGTCAGTAAGCTGACATGTACAACACATTCTATTGTGAAAGAGAAGATATTAAACAAAGGAAGAAGACAGGACAATGTAGCTATAATTCTTTTGTATAAATACAGTTTAAGGCAATAGGAAGGAAATGCCATATATAGGTTATACAGAATGTTCCGTATAATACGGAAATTGTTATAATTAGTTGACATTGTCATTGTATGACCTGTATGCATAGGTTAGTGTTTAATAATAAGTATTAACAAAAATAATTGGTCAAGCCTGCCGCAGGCAGGCGACCAATTATTTTTGTTAATGCATATTATTAAACATTAACCTATTTAATGATCAACATTATTTTTTTCACAAAAACAAGGCATTTCTCTAAATCACTGATAGCTCCGCCCTTTTGCTCTACAAGATGTCTACACCTTGTCAAGTTTCTAACATTTCACATTTAGATAAGCTAAATAAATGGCCCTTTCAACATATAATCAGGCACATTTTTACTGAAATGTCACATAATTTATACCTTTATCTACAGTAATTACATGTAGAAAAAAAACAATAGAGTTAATGAAATGTGTACATCCTTTTAAAATAAATGGAAAATGTGAGAAGAATACATTAGAAATTATTAATTATTTATAAAACAGTTTACAGGTGGAGGGGGTCAGTTTACAATGAGTTTTCCAGCCAAAAATGTAATCATTGTATTCTTAATATCATTGGATTGTTAATGCATTTATTCCTATCAAGTGAAAGAAAATAATTTTTTGGTTACTTTTTCTAGAAAATATAAAGTTAAAACACGACTGTCAGCAATTTATAACAGATATTTTTCTTAGAGTTAAAAGGATATAAAAAAAGTCGCTATGTAATCATTTGTCTGTGCGTGCCCTACATGTATTATCTATGTAATAAATCATTTGATTGTATCCTCACATTTAGAAAGCCTTATTATTGGCGACGCCGGTGAGCGGCGTCGTCTATTATGGAACGCTTTTTATTTTTGCCTATGGAAGGAGCTGTTATTATTAGCAGTTAATTTCATGTTGTGTTAATTATATTTATTTTGATTCGTAAAAATCAAGTAAACAAATATGTTGTTATATTTGTATTTAATAACTTTATATAAAAAGCATGTGCATTGTGATATTATTTTCACGAAATTGCAGGCTCTGATTAACAGCTTGTCCCTTTGTTTTATTGACAATGCTAAAACCCGGATTTCGAATATCGTTGTGGTCTACATTGATGTTCATTCATTTATATATTTTCAAAACTTTCCTACAAGAAGAAAGTTCACCTGCAAATGAGTATTAGGATAGGTAATGGACTGTTGTAAACGATTATCCTATTGATTTTATCCATATTACGTTTATCTGTTGAACAGAATGGTTGTTTTTACAAAGTGTACCAGTATCCGGATGTTGACAGCTATCCGATTTTCTGCAATTACTGCTGTCACATGGCCATCTACTTTTTTATGAATACTTTACCATTAATTTGCATGGCATTATATAAATTAAAATGAGCCTGCAACATTTCTTAATTTTGATGTTTAGGGTGTTCTTTTGGGTTTCATGTTTTCTTTATTTCAAGGGGAAGTAACTCATGTTTACTAAATTATTTGTTCTTTTCTGTCTATCTTAGGTATTACTTACAATTTTTGTTTTATAAAATTTACCAGTTGTAAGGTCATCAAAAGCATAGAGGCCCTGATGAGTGAATATTGATATATATATACTTTTACTGGCTTTATATACCCAATATTTCATATTTATTTAATAGAAACTTGGAATTATTAATGTTATGTGCATACATTTATATCTTAGTATATTGGTATGATGAGACTTACAATATTTCTGAATTTAAAGAGTTGCAGTTATGTCATTATTATTAAAGGGATGAGACTTTCATTTAAAGTTATAAATGATAATACATGTATTGATTGAAAATGTCCTGAAACTTGGATCAAGCAATATAATTGATAAAGCCTCAAAAAATCATGTTCTGAATAGTTATTCTAATTTTTTTCTAACATGTGCATAGTTTGAAAAGGACAGCTTCTGCCTTATCTGTTTGTAATGGAGGGACACCGGTCTCAACCTCCAGGTCTCCTGAGTCAACCCGACAACAGACTTTTCATAGAGTAGATTGATACTTGTCCTTGAATAAATTTGTACACTAAATTTTATAGTGGGTGATTTGTGCCACATGAAAACCAACCAAGTACAAAAAGTAACCGGGCGCCAGATGAAAACATGAAAATACAATCTACCACAAAGTGGTTCGTTTGTTGCATTTTCATGTTTTCGCCCGGTGCCCTTGATGTAAAATACAAATCAGCCTTCATAAAATTTCTTATAGATATTGTACATGTATTAGCACAGTTATATTCACTTTCAAATTGACCTGTTATAAATAATGGCATAACCAATAACTGTCTTAGCCCTTTTTAGTAAAAATAATTATACAATAATAATTATATAAATTGTTATTTTAATTAAGACTATGAGTATGTAAGGTTTTTTTCTCTTATTTATTAATTAAGAATTAATTATCTGTTAATTTAAAAATCTAAATATCTGTCACGGTTTAGAACTGTTCACTATTTAGGGGAGAAAATGTGTAAGCGGCCAGATAGCTCAATCGCTACAGCCGCGGTACATTATTCTGTGGGTCACAGGTTTGAGTTCTGGTCAAGCTGAAAGTTTTTCTCATCCTGTTACTGCAAATAACCATTAGTTTAATTTACTATGCTCTGTAATAATAAAACATCAGAAATTCAAGTACATGAATCAATATAGTGGGGAAAAAGGTTTAGGTTTAGAACTGTTTCATTATTATAGAGAAAATGTGTAGCCGGCCGGATAGCTCAGTTGGTCTTTTGAAAGTCATGGGTTCGAGTCATGGTCAGGCAGTTTCAGTCAGGGTTTAGAAGTGGTTTTTCAACTGACACATGTTTGATTCATTTAATAGATTGCATTTAATTTGAAATGGACAAAGGCAGTATTGCGTGATACTTTTAAATCTACAAAAAGCATTTGGTACAGTTGATCACACTATACTGCACATGAAGAAGTTCTTTTTTCTTCTTCTTCATGGAACTTCAAGCATCTGCCATATGTAATGACATTCTTGCATGGTTCAAGTCTTATCTCTGATAGCAGCTGGTGAATGTGGCTGGTACTCCTTCTCTCTGAATACCTATGGTGTCCCCCTGATGTTTATTTTAGGTCCTCTTTTATGTCTAATATATGTCAATGACATGTCTGCAACCCTAAGCAATAAGCTTTTATTATATGCACAGGCACAAGTATCAGACCTGGGAAGAAAAAATATTACCAGATTGATAAAAAAACCTGTGTTCATCTTAAAAGTGTCACAAACCAAAAAAAAAATGTAAATGATGACCCCCTTTAAAAATATACTTAAAGTTAATAGTATATTTTTAAAGGGGGTCATTATTTACATTTTATTTTTTGGTTTTTGCACTTTTAAGATGAACACAGATTTTTTATTAATCTGGTCATATTTTTTCTTCCCAGGTGTGATACTTGTGCCTGTCATTATATGATGATGACTCAGGTATCCTTGTATCTGGTAAAGTAAATCTTAAGATTGTTTTATTGACTATAAATTGTCTTTGCATCTTGGCAAGACAGAGTCTATTCTTTTTGGTTTAAGTTTCAACATAAACTGGGCCAAGCCTCCAGGTCACATGAAATGGTACTGCTATAAAGTACACGTCTTTTGTTAAGTATTTAGGTGCAAACCTGGATCAAATTCTTTTGGCGTCGCCCTTTGATGCTTTGCATCAATGCTTTTCTTGTTTCTCTGTTGGAATTGTTTTGCTAACCTTTATATTGCAAATCACACCTCTAACTCCTCCCTAATATAATGCATTATTGAAATTTGTTAGACTGCGGTTAGACGACAGATTAAGTAAATTTTATTTAGTTAGTACACATTAACAAAAGTTAGACTTAGCAGAAATTTGAAAAATACTACAATGTGATTGGACAAAAAATAATGTTGATCATTAATTAGATTTTATAATACCACTGCTTGTTATTAATGATCAACATTATTTTTTGTCCAATCACATTGAAGTATTTTTCAAATTTCTGCTAAGTCTAACTTTTGTTAATGTGTACTAACTAAATAAAATTTACTTAATCTGTCGTCTAACCAGTCTAACACATTTCAATAATGCATTATATTAGGGAGGAGATAGAGGCTTGACCGATTTTGTTAATGCGTATTATTACACACTAACCTATACTTAAATCTGTGATAATACAAGCATCACAGAAGTTCACATCTATACAACATTTATGTACTACATGTATAAGTAAATAGTAAATATACTGCTGCGACACTAACGTAAGCTGATGAGTCCCATCTATTTTTCCGTATCGGTAACAACCTTTAAAATATTTGTCTATGTTGACAAGTTGTTTTGATAGTTAAATGTGAGCTAATGTCTACCTGAACATCTGTTATATCACGTTTTACAGCTTGGGAAATTTACAGAATGTGAAATCTACAAACTTGTTTAATATCAGATAGCTAAAACATATCTGGTTCTCATTAAGACATGTATATTTTATTAAGTTTTCTATACCTAGAAACTAGATACGTTAATTTTCACATAAATAAAATTTTGATGCACACTAAAACGGTTATGATACGATTTATTTTTTATTGTTTATGATCTTTAACATAGTATAGGTAATAATACATAAGGGCAACTATTCAATGCTCATATTTTACCCTTCTCCTTGGGCTCGAGCCCGAAAATGGACACCGAGTTCGGCCTCCAGCATCAGACAAGCTGGCAAGTCGTCACATGATCTGTGAACTTCAGCATCAGACAAGCTGGCTAGTAGTCACGTGATCTGTGAACTCCAGCATCAGACAAGCTGGCTAGTAGTCACGTGATCTGTGAACTCCAGCATCAGACAAGCTGGCTAGTAGTCACTTGATCTGTGAACTCAACCATCAGACAAGCTGGCTAGTCGTCACGTGATATTTGAATTCCACCATCAGACAAGCTGGCTAGTTGTCACGTGATCTTTGAACTCGGGCAACAGACAAGCTGGCTAGTCGTCACGTGATCTTTGAACTCCAGCATCAGACAAGCTGGCTTGTTGTCACGTGAACTGTGAACTCCAGCATCAGACAAGCTGGCTTGTTGTCACGTGAACTGTGAACTCCAGCATCAGACAAGCTGGCTTGTTGTCACGTGAACTGTGAACTCAAGCATCAGACAAGCTGGCTAGTCATCACGTGATCTGTGAACTTCAGCATCAGACAAGCTGGCTAGTTGTCACGTGAACTGTGAACTCAAGCATCAGACAAGCTGGCTAGTCATCATATGATCTGTGAACTCCACCACCAGACAAGCTGGCTAGCCGTCACTTGATCTGTGAACTCCACCATCAGACAAGCTGGCTAGCCGTCACTTGATCTGTGAACTCCACCATCAGACAAGCTGGCTAGTCGGCACTTGATCTGTGAACTTCAGCATCAGACAAGCTGGCTAGTCGTCACGTGATCTGTGAACTCCAGCATCAGACAAGCTGGCTAGCCGTCACTTGATCTGTGAACTCCACCATCAGACAAGCTGGCTTGTCGGCACTTGATCTGTGAACTTCAGCATCAGACAAGCTGGCTAGTCGTCACGTGATCTGTGAAATCCAGCATCAGACAAGCTGGCTAGTCGTCACTTGATCTGTGAACTTCAGCATCAGACAAGCTGGCTAGTTGTCACGTGAACTGTGAACTTCAGCATCAGACAAGCTGACTAGTCAACACATGATCTGTGAACTCCAGCATCAGACAAGCTGGCTAGTCGTCACGTGATGTATGAACTTTAGCATCAGACAAGCTTGCGTGTCGTCATGTGATCTTTGAACTGCAGCATCAAATGATCTGTGAACTAACATGGATATTGGCTGCATCAAGTAAACAACTCTAAAAGTAAGTCGTATAGCGGTATATATATCAATATACCTGTACATGTCACAGCCATTTCTGACCTCACATTTTTAAAAATATTTAGAACTTAAAATATACACTCGATCTTGTATAAAAGCATGTACATGTAACACCATTCTAGTTAACACATCATATTTGGGGTATTTTCAAAACAGCCATCGTAAAATTTAGAATTCTAATAATATAAAGTATTGATGATATGTCAATGTTCTAGGCAACATCAACGTTATCTTGAAGACATTAAACTGTTCATGTTTTATGTTATATAACTGATCATTGTATGGTTTCCAGAAATAACATCTCGATCTTTAGACATCAGTCTTATAGATGCTACAAGAAAATCAATTGATATAAGTGACTGAAGTGAGTTCATTTGTTCTGTGATGTACATGCAAACATTCGGACGAAAAGTGATTCAATAATCCGATAGTATTAATGTTCTCCAAATACTGTATATGTTGTAATGTTCGTCGATATGTTGTTTTCGTATATACGTGTTGTACATTTATTATTGACGGTATGGTGTTATATGTAGTGAGCATGTATAATGACTGGTATATTATATGCAGTGCACATATATAATGACGGGAATGGTGTTTTATGTAGTGCATATGTACATTGACCGATATGATCTTATATGTAGTGTTCATGTAAAATGAAATATATGATCTTATATGTAGTGTTCATGTAAAATGAAATATATGATCTTATATGTAGTGTTCATGTTCAAGGACCGGTATATTGTGATATGTAGTGTACATATAGCCTGTATTGGTGCCATATGAGGAAATATGGTCGTAACCTGTATTGGTGCCATATGAAAAAACCTGGCCATAAATAGTCATCTCTTTTGTTTGTTTATTTTTGTAATAGGAGTTAAAGTCAAGGAAGACCTCAGGTGCCCCTCTGTATATTATTTCCGGCACAAGCGAGCATCTGATTAGAACTACCGACGTTCAAGATGACTGAGGGCGAAACGTCTTCGTTAATTGTAACGGTGTCCAAAAACATAGCCGTAACCTGTAATGACGTCATATGAGGGAACATGGTTGTAAACTTTAATAAAGTCATATGAGGGAACAGGGTCGTAATTTTAATGACGTCACATGAGGAACACGATCGTAACCTTTAATGACGTCATATGAAGAAAAAAAAGGTCGTAACCTTTAATGGCGACATACGAGGAAACATGGTTGTGACCTTTTATGGCGACATATGAGGAAACTTGGTCGTAACCTGTAATGGCGACATATGAGAGAACATGGTTGTGACCTTTAATGGCGACATACGGGGAAACATGGTTGTGACCTTTTATGGCGACATATGAGGAAACTTGGTCGTAACCTGTAATGGCGACATATGAGAGAACATGGTTGTGACCTTTAATGGCGACATACGGGGAAACATGGTTGTGACCTTTTATGGCGACATATGAGGAAACTTGGTCGTAACCTGTAATGGCGACATATGAGGGTACATGGTCGTAACCTGTAAATGCGACATATGAGAGAACATGGTTGTGACCTTAATGGCGACATATGAGGGAACATGGTCGTAACCTTAAATGGCGACATATGAGGGAACATGGTTGTGACCTTAAATGGCGACATATGAGGGAACATGGTTGTAACCTGTAATGGCGACATATGAGGGAACATGGTTGTGACATGTTATGTTGTTATATGGAGAAATATGGCCGTGACTCCATGATCATTGACTTGAGTGAGAAATAGACAATATAAATATTGTAGTCAGCCATCAAATTAAAATACATGTACAAGTATTGTGTATTCAGTCATCAATGATTCAGACATGAAGATATAAATGTTGTACATTCAGTCATGAAGATATAAATATTGTACATTCAGACATGAAGATATAAATATTGTACATTCAGACATACATATTGTACATTCAGACATAAATATTGTACATTCAGACATGAAGATATAAATATTGTACATTCAGACATGAAGATATAGATATAAATATTGTACATTCAGATATACATATTGTACATTCAGAACATAAATTTTGAAATTCAGCCATAAATTTAAAAAATTTTTACATTAGCATATTGTGAAATTCAGCATAAAAAAAATTTTCATTCACATAGATTTTAAATTTGTACATTCAGTATCAAAATAAGGATATTTGTTTTTCAGTCATCAATTAAATAAAATGATTAAGCCATCAAAATATAAATATAATATCTCATCCGTCAAAATATAAGAAATTGTGCATTTAGCAATCAAAATGATATAAATATTATGCATTCTGCCATTAAAGTTTAAATATATTGCATTCAGCCGTTTAAGTAATTTATGTATTCAGCCACCAAAATATAAATGGTATGTAACAACATTTCATGAAAATGAACATTTTTATTTTCATGTAATTTCTTTAAATACATAAATATTTTGTAATACAAGAACAAAAAAAAAGTGACAGTTTTGTTGCAAAATGGCGGCAAAATTCTTCCGACATTAAACTTGGTTCGTCTGATTCTTTTATCTCAGCAATGTTTTAAGTGTATATAAAACATCTTGTTGGCAGCTGCTAAATACATTTGATCCTACAGGCAAACATCGCGGTTTCTTCCTTTGATCTGAGCTAAACACTCATGTTCTATATAACTTGGAAAATTTCTTCTACCGGCACCATTTATTGTATATTGTTCAAATGAAAAGAAACTCGGGTATACCTTATTAACAATTGCCTATATATCTTACTTATGAGCTTAGAATAAAAAATCACATGCTAGATTATTTTGTTATATATCGGTATCCTAGTCACATACAATGGGATATCTGTTACAATTCTTCACACTCGCACACACGCATGTATGCAACTTGTTTTTTATCTAACAGTGTGAGATACTTGCTCTTTATTCAGTTGACGGGTAGCACTTTTTATACCTCACAATGTAGGTTAAACCTCATTTTGCATTGGTTAAGTTGACACTGACCTGGCAAGGTTAGGTAAACGAGAGCGAGCAAGCGCGCGCACACATACGCACGTGTACGCGCGCGCTCGCGCACAAACACACACACACACACACACACACACACACACACAGAATTAGCAGAATATTAAGTAAAAATATTAGCGTGTCTAATAACAAATAGCTGTGCCTAATGTAAGATACTGTATACGTTCTTGTAGAACAAGAAAATGGTTTTCAACATATTGTTTAATCAGTATATTTATATAAAAATATGATTTGAAGCAGTGTAGAAAATGGGTAGAATATATAAGTATAATATAAAAGGTAAGGTATTATATAATCAGAAACGTTCATAATGTGTTTTATTGAATGAACATATTGGTAAATAACTGACTGTCATGTTACTAATCGTGAAATCAAAATCCAGATACATTAGACACACACAAGATTGTTGTTGTCAACAATAACATACATCTTCAATATTGGTACAATTGTAATTGCTGTATACAAAATGGACGGAACAATATTCCCTGGCACTTAAATAACACAACCATCTTTAACGTATTAAGATCACAAATATATGTTCTGGAAGGATGTGATTTCTCCGTGAGCAGAATTTTATCTTATTAAAGTTTATCTCACACACGCCGACTAGGTTTATATCTACAGTCACATAATGGTCCAAAATGTGTCCTTTTGGCAATTTCAATTGTATCACAGAAAGTTCTATATGTATAATATACAATACAATCTGTAAGGCCTGCTAAGAAATTTGGAATCAATTTATTTTTCTTAAATATATTGTAATTATAATCACTGTCTTTATGGAAATGACCCTCATTGTTACCTCCCTTTTTGGTTGTCTGGTGAAATGCTAGGAGCGTTCGTGTGACATCGATTACTGTTGTGTTAAGACGACACCTGGCTTCACCGACTAACCAGTTATCGTAACCAGGGCGACCAACGACAACCGGAAGTATCCGTTTCCATGGAAACGAGCTAGTAGTGATGAAAAAATCCTCTGCGTCTTCTTTATAAAGCTGACCAAACTGTTTAGCTCGTTGATTGATGTCCATGTCTGACTTTGGATCAAGTCTTGTTAGATTATCAACATTTGTCCGGCGGCCTGTCAGAAGTATTCTTGTATTTGAAGTATTATATATCTGTGTTAGAGTTTCTAAATTCAAAATTAAATCTCTTGTAAATAAAATATCAGCGTTAACATATCCATACCATTTTGTATTATATCTCGACATAGCCAAGCTAAACATATCTTGTAACACAGGAGGTTTTGTACCGTTGTTTTCTATCAAAGGTTTGATCACGTCCCATCCGAACGATTGTGCAACTTTGTTCCAGTACTCGTCACTTGAAAACAGAATTAAGTTAACAGAAGATTTGAATGAGGCCCAGTTAACAAGAGTATTATTATGAACACTAAGTTTTTCCGCGTCCGTATGAAAGTGGTCAGCAAACGTTGTAAACAGAGTAATTAGCGGCTCTCTATCTACCAGTTTGGTTTTCCTCTGATCAGAATGTTTACATGATGATAAAAATTGACGAACAGACGACTGAAGTTCAACCTCTGACTTCTCATTTAAATTAGAACATTCTTGTGGGAGTAACTTTCTCAGTGTCGTCTGCCCATTATTACCGAGATAAAGGGAGACAACTTGTAACAAAGTATCCGGTGAACAATGAAGTGGTACAGAGGGATTTCTGAAGCCGACAAACACAGAAATGTTCAATACACTTAAAACTATAAGAATGATCATATACTGAAATGTCGACGAATGTTGTATATTTGTGGGATTTCTTCCGGTTTTAGTTTTTTTAGTCATCTTCGGAAACAAATCTGAAAAGATAAACAATTTGAAAATATAAGATACAATTGAAATGTTACGATACAGTAACACATATTTTACTACATTTTTCACTGATATTTCGCCATAGTTTGTGGGGTTTTTAATGGAAGTAAATAGTTAATGTAGAATTCTACAAAAGAAAACAACAAAAACAAAGAAAAAAACACCCCACCAAAAAAAAACAAAACAAAAAAAACAAGAAAAAAAAACACAACAAACAAAACAAAAGGAATAACTAAATTTACGAATAGGTATTACGTGATGTAAATCAGACATTCCGCCGTTACCGAACAGGTTCAAACAATTAGCATGATTGGTCAGACCACGTGCAAGGACCGAACAAATTCGAATTCGTGACATGGTTAAATCTTAATTAAGTCAGATTGTTTCCAGGCACACAAGTTCCATTACCTAACAAATTCGATCACGTGACTTGATCCGTCAGACCTAACACGTGTCATGGATTCGAGGCCTACACCATTTAAACAATTACGCTTTCATTTTTTAAGGTTACAACAATTGAAAGCAAAGTTTAAGGGAGCAATAATTAGCAATAATAAAAGCCGTGTTTATAGGGATTAACAATTTAAAGTCGTGTTTATAGGACAGTGATAAATGTTGTAACAATTGGCAACAAAATATAACATAACATAGCACAACATAAATTTTATTTAGCCTTAACCATATTATACAATGTTTATAGCCAAAATGGAGGGAAAAAATGTTAATTATGTTATACGCAGTGAGAGTAATGGTGAACATGTTTTCTAGAAGAACAAAGATTTCTAATTCTTTCGTAAAGTATAAAGCAAAAGCATTTTATCTTTAATACAAAATATACTGATTACACATTTTTCAGAAGAACGAAATATCTAAATTTTAAGTAAAACTGTTAATATCAATGTTTATCCGTTGTAGGCATGGAATATATTGACGACATGTCATAACAAGGACAGAACAACAAAGTTTACTGATAACAACATTTTCAGGAAAAACATGTATGTGGAAATAAACAAAGAATATTTTTTTTTAGTACTGATAACATACTAGTGTATTGTTTACACAATTCTTTTCTTATTTGCGAAATATAAGTATTTAGCAAGGTTACAGATATTCTTTTTAGAAGTAACGGACAGTACTTTTCAAATTTATTGATTGATGGCCAATGATGATATACTCTTTATTTCCGCTTTTCAGCGATTTACGGAAGCGTCCTGGTGCCAATTTAACATGTTCTATAAAAAAGATAACTCCTACGTAGGAGATTAAAAAGCCTCATTAGGAGTAGGATTTTATAAGTCCTACGTAGGACTTTATAACTCCTACGTAGGACTTTATAACTCCTACGTAGGACTTTTTAAGTCCTACGTAGGACTTTGTAACTCCTACGTAGGGCTTTATAAGTCCTACGTAGGACAAAGAGCCTAATTAGGAGTTTAAAACTCCTACGTAGGACTTTTAAACTCCTACGAAGGACTTTTAAACTCCTACGTAGGACTTTGTAACTCCTACGTAGGACTCTAAAACTCCTACGTAGGACTTTATAATTCCTAAGATAAAAAAGCCTAATTAGGAGTTTATAACTCTTACGTAGGAGTTTATAACTCCTACGTAGAAGAACATTTAAAAAGTCCTACGTAGGAGTTATAAACTCCTACATAGGACTTTTAAACTCCTACGTAGGACTTTAAAACTCTTATTAGGGGTTTTTATCTCCTACGTAGGAGTTATAAAGTCCTACGTAGGACTTAAAAAGTCCTACGTATAGGAGTTATAAAATCCTAATTAGGCTTTTTAACTCCTACGTAGGAGTTTGTAAGTCCTACGTAGGACTTTAAAACTCCTAATGAGGTTTTTATATCTCCTACGTAGGAGTTATAAAGTCCTACGTAGGTCTAATAAAGTCCTACGTAGGACTTACAAAGTCCTACGTAGGAGTTATAAACTCCTAATTAGGCTTTTTTATCTCCTACGTAGGAGTTATAAAGTCCTACGTAGGAGTTACAAAGTCCTACGTAGGAGTTATCTTTTTTATAGAATATGTTAAATTGGCACCAGGACGCTTCCGTAGCGATTACAACACATACAACATGAAATATTTACAAACATATGATACATGATTATGACAAATGTACATTCATATATCATAAAAGAGACATAATTTAATTCAAGTTAAATGGTTTCATATACATGTATAAGCTTCTATATGATTATATTTCTATATGATTATATTAACATTATATCAGAGGTGACCTTAGAGCAATAAGTATTTAAGCATAACAACAAAAAAACACATTTATATAATTGTTTTATACATATTTCATATTTAAATTTCATTTGAGTTATCATACTGATAATGCAATGTAATTATATATGGTTATAATGCCTCAGTATTCAACCTAGTATCACACATCTTACCGAAACGAAATATAAGCTATGTAACTGTTTCCGGTTGTCGCATATTACACGATTTGCAGATGAATGTTGTAATATCTTCCGGTTTCGATAAATAACTCATGTGCAGAAACTAAATCTTGACATCGCCATTCTATATTTATTTTCCGTTATGACACTCAAATAATTTTCAAACTCGAATTTATGTTTGAATATACAATAACATTTTAAACGACTAGAGTTATTTGTATCGGAGTACCAAGATTGTATGAAAAGCCGTTGTTTAATCATATTAAAAGGAATGTCAATTTCGAATTGTTCATTCCATATATACATTAGCCCAATCTCAGTCAGTAATGTTTTAATGTGAGAAGCCCAGTTATTATTTCGGTACGTATAACCCCGGTCTGTATCGGATTTTAAAAATAAATACGTTTTCTTTATTAAAGATAAATCATTTTGTTTCAAGATTTTTATCCAATATTTGATCATATTTATTTTTCTGTATATATGAAGTGGAAATCGTCCTAGTTCACCATATAATGCCGTTAAATAAGTCGACCTTTTTACACAGACTACTCGTTTTAGAAACTCATTGTGTACAAGTTCGATGTCAGCTGCCTTATGCATACCCCATATTTCTGAGCCAAAATTTAGTATGGAACCAACCTATGAGTCAAACAATTACATTTCTGTGCGACCGTTATTTCTATATTTTTAAAGATTAAAAAAAAAGTTTATGCAGCGCAAAAGATGCGTGTTGTGCTACACATTTTTGTGTTCGGTGTCAATTACTGTTTTTGAGCAAAGTGATACCCAAGTACTTAAATGATTGAACGACCTCTATTGCTGTATTATATATGTAAAATACATACTTGGTATGTCTACCCTTTTCGAATATCATAGCTTTTGTCTTTGAAACATTAATTTTCAGGCCCCATAATTTACAGTAATTCTCAACATCGTTTAGCATTGACTGAAGGGTTTCAGGAGATTTTGCAAAGAGTACCTGATCATCTGCGAATAGTATAAGGAATAACTTCAGCTCATTTACTGTAAATATATCACTTAGGTTACTGTTTATATTATCTATGAGATCGTTCACGGACAATATAAAGATCAAAGGTGGACTCGGATCTCTATGGAAGAATATTAACGCCAAAATTACATCTTGCTTTCTTACGTTACATCGTGCTTTCTAACTTGTACATCTTGCATTCTGACTTGTACATCTTGCATTCTGACTTGTACATCTTGCATTCTGACTTTACATGTTGCTTTCTTACATGCACATTACTAGTATGCTTTCTGCTGTGTGCGTCTTGCTTAATTGTATGTTGATATCGTTATTTAACGATCAATTATTATTCATTTGTTGATCTGGTATATTAATTCAATAACTTAACTATTTGGGTCTACGTGCTTGAATGAAAAATGTCATAAGGTAGAATGACGCATAGCCGAAAGCCGAATGCAGCAAGCATAATACGACGCGACATCTGGTGTAATAACATGTGACACCCAAATTATGCTAACAGGTGGCGCTACAGTTATATTCTCGGTAAAGTCCGTATTGCGGTTCGGATTCAGTTTACCAAGTTACGTCCCTTTGTTTTAAAATTTCCATTTGCACTCATGGAGGAAATATACAAAACGATTTAACCAATTTTTATATTTATTAATGAAACTCTGTAGGTCAAATTATATTTCCACGGTGCATATCTATATCGGTACCCTCTTTGCGAAATCTGCTCAAACGGTACCCTCTTTACACATGCACAGGTCATTCTCTGCTAAAAACAAACCAGCGATGGTTAACAATCCAGTAAAATTTCAATGTAATAAGGAAACGGGGTTTGACACGTACAAAAGATATATACCACGGAACACAAGAATGTTTTATTTATGTGCTGATTTGTCATGTGTCCGTTTTTCATGTAATGCAACTTCACAATAAGTTACAAAAAAATCGACATGTCTTGCCTCGCCCATCACCTCGTCATACTTTTCGGGCTGCAATGAACCGTGGGCTTGATTATAAATGCATCATACATATCTAATATGTTCGTTTACATATCATCTTCGGACAAATGGCAGTATATTGTCAAAAATAAATGTAAAATTCATAAAAACACCCTACTTTCGGTTTTGCAGCGTACCCTCATGGCACAACATATGCTTTTATTTGCGTTAATCGTTAAATAGGTATGTAATATTTCTTACTTTTATGTAAATATTACATACTTAATGATTAACGCAAATAAAATCCTATGTCGTGCCTTGTAGGTACGTATGTGTTAAAAAATGAGAGGGTACCTGTGATATAAAAATTCAAATGAAGAGAGGTAGCCCGTGCCTCTGCAAAAGAAAAAAAGGCAAAACTGTCTAGTCTAGACAGACTAGACAGTTTTGACATTTTTTTTTTCTCAGAATCAGCTGATTTTGGCAGCAGTTCCTTCAGTTTTAAGCTGACACTGTGAACAAGAACCCTGTCCGTATTCATAAAGCATCTTAGTGAATAATTTTCAACTTAGTGAAAAAGACATTTTTTTGACAAGTTTGAATTTAAAAAATCTAACGTGTGTACAAAATTAGTTTGAAAATAGGCAAGAAAATGTCCTTATTAATAAAAACACATTAAAAATGTTGTGGATGGTCACAGGTATTGGAAATAAGCCATGTCAAAATTTAAGAACTTTTCAAGAGGATGAAATATTTTATTAAGAAGTTTTTTTATGGCCCAATCACTTTGAACAATGTTGAACATGCAACTGTTCTATTTTATAATTATTTTGTTGATGAAAAAAAAATAATTCTTAAACCATTGATTTGGAAAAGTGCAACTTGTCATTGTCAGCTGGAAATATAATTTGACCTACAGAGTTTCATTAATAGATATAAAAATTGGTTAAATAGTTTTGTATATTTTCTCCATGAGTGCAAAATTAATGGAAATTTTAAACAAAGGGACGTAACTTGGTAAACTGAATCCGAACCGCAATACGGACTTTACCGAGAATATAACTGTAGCGCCACCTGTTAGCATAATTTGCGGGTGTTCACATATTATTACACCCAGATGTCGCGTTGTATTATGCTTAGCTGCATTCGGCTTTCGGCTATGCCGCATTCTACCTTATGACATTCGTCATTCAAGCTGAGTAAATAGACCAAAATACAAACACTTGCAGGTTAATTTATTAAATTAAATATACCAGATCAACAAATGAATAATAATGATCGTTAAATAACGACATCAACATAAAATTAAGCAAGTCGCACACAGCAGAAAGCATAATGTGCATGTAAGAAAGCAACATGTAAAAGTCTGAATGCAAGATGTATATGTCATAATGCATAATGTACAAGTTAAAAAGCACGATGTACACGTTAGAAAGCACGATGTAACGTAAGAAAGCAAGATGTAATTTTGGCATAAATAACCCTCCATAGATCTCCCTCCTTCAATCTTATGTCGGAGGTGAAGAAGTTTGAAAGAGATCCTTATATCTAACATTATAGTACATTTCACAAGTGTACATCTTACATTTTCAGATAACAATTTTTGCCATAAGTATTATCGATCAATTTTATCAAAACACTTTTCATAGTCAATAAAGATACACAATAATTTATCACCAGTTTAACACTTTGGAAATAATCGAATGAAAAATGAAAACAAAATATACCATTGTTGTAGTATGGTGTATTTTGATGCATGTTATAAAAAAATAAGAAACTGCCTCGAGGCAAACTCAGATGGTGACGTGTGTCATATATATTGTCATATGATAGATGTATATGTTCAAACATTGAGAAATGATAAAATATTTGTGTTTAGTTATTGTACATTTTGACATCCACATTTTAACGTTCTTTAGTAGTTAGAGCATTATCGTGTTGTTTGTCTGTGTGTATGGGGTCAAGTAAATAAGATATGTTTACCTTTCCATAACGTTCAGTTTGATTTCTGTACTAGCGATATTTTACAACTAAGGAAAGGAAAAAAAAAAAGAATTTAATATTAATCAAGATTTGAAACACCAGCTGTAAAATATCTATGACAGAATTTTTTTTTTTTTAATCAAACACAACAACAACAATAATAATGGCATTTGATGATGATGACGTTACAATCCTATAAACACAACTGTTGGACGCGGTTCAATAAAACACCACATGTTACCTACTACTTTCCTTGTCGTTGTTGTTGTTATATGCACGCATATTTTTCTTTTATAAAAAGCTTGAATGAAAAGATAAACGTTGATATTTCTCTCGTAAATTTTGTAATTAAAAACAATAGATTAACGCAATATTTCTTTAGCAACGAAGTTAACAACAAAATGTAATGTGATTATTGTACTGAGTTTACACAGAGTTTGTTTTAGTTGGATTGTGTGGGATGCTATACAATCCTTATTTCTTACTTTTCTTACTTAATTTACTTTTATCTATCGACATTCTGACCCAGGACAAAAATACCCCACAATCTAACTTTGGACGTGTATATATTTACTTCAGAAACATAATGTTTATTTGTTACAACATTTTAAATAATAATTGTTAATGTTACTTATAGAAAATAAAGGATAAAAGTGTCTTAATAACTTTTATTCTTTTCGATATAATAACTATGTTACAACAAAATATTAAACGTTGGAAAGGATAGTAATATACAAAATTTAAGTCTACAAATTAAAACATTTAAATTTGACAATAATGTATAGAAAAAAACAAAAACAACATAATTGTTATGATTAGATAAAGTAAAAATCAAATAAACCGTTAATAAAATAAAATGATATAATATAATGTAATCATGTATATAGCTCCGTTGGAATTTATGTACAAGTCATAATTAATATGAGAAATATTAAAACAAATATGAATAATGATAATGTCGTACCTGAATCATCTGCTCATATTTTAGAGAAATAAATAATCCCGAAATCGTTACCAGATAACGACCAACCAGATAACGACCATTGTTATTATGGATTCTACACCAAATTATGTAAGAATCTTCACTATCTTGCTCCTATGTTATATATGTATATTATATAGATAAATATTCCCCCTGATATTCACACATAGCAGAACACGCGTGTGTTGTTTCTGTAATTAATAAAGGAGGGGGCGTCTCAAACCTGCTTATTCAACTAAAGACAACTCGTACAGTTTTATCAAAATTAATTAATGCAATAGTTATCTTTCTTGTATTAAACAGCCGCATATTCTAACGAGGATGTTAAAGTGGTTTTACCTTCATTATGTAGGTGTTCAAGTGTTTCTACCTCCGTATTGTAGGTATCCAAGTTTGTCTTACTGTCTTCTACCTGTATATTGTAGGTGTTCAAGTGCCTTCATATTGTAATTGTTTTCGTATTGTAGGTGTTCAAACGTTTCTAGGGACCATAAGCTTGAAGTTATACAAATCAAACAACATTCTCTCACAAGTATCGTAATTATTGAATTTGGGATTTGCCACTTTATTGCGTGTTTCGGGTGGGGGTAGGGTGCACCTAGGTAAATCTAGCAAAATAATGTTGCGATTTATCGAAGAATTTGTTTAGGTATATTGGATATAATGATCAAATGCATATGCCGACTCTTTATCATAGGCAAAATAATTTAACTATCTATAGCAAACGAATTACACTATACTAATTGTAACATGAAAATGTGGGATACGAACAAAAGCCCCCCCCCCGGACGAAAGCCCCCCCCATCTAAAAATAACAAGGTGGACAAAAGCCCCCCCCCATGAAATTTTCACATAGGACAAAAGCCCCCCCCCCATAAAAAAGTAAAGGTAGGACAAAAGCCCCCCCCCCCCTTTGTCAATCAAATTTACATATAGTGTATTAAAGTTGTGTTTTTCATGTGTTTAAAAGATATGTATGAACATCACATGTAGGTGACATAGTGCTTAGGATATTAATTTGATCCCTTTACAAAAGTGATTAAACATTTCTACTCTTCTGACCCTTGTTGTGTATATGAAAAGCTATGAATTCGGTATCGCATGCATGCATTATTTAATTTTTTATCATAAACTTTGTTATCACTTCAATATATACATAAATAAACATTAAAACAAATTCTTTTCATTTTTATTTAAAAGTTTGTGTGAAATTTGATGAATTTGAGCACCTGTGCGTGTGAAAAAAGATGGGGGGGGGGGCTTTTGTCCTACCTGTATTTTTGATGGGGGGACTTTTGTCCTATGTGAAAATTTCATGCGGGGGGGGGGCTTTTGTCCACCTTGTCATTTTTAGACAGGGGGGGGGGCTTTCGTCCGGGGGGGGGGGGGCTTTTGTCCTACACTCTGAAAATGTCGACATAATCCAGGCGCAGTTACTTGTATTATAGGTGAGAATATAATATCGACTGCCACAGACACAACGAATGCAAATCTGAAATAACCCAGATATTTTATTAAAGAACATGAAAATGTCGACGTAACCATGTCGGCAGTTACTTCTTTTCCTACGACAAAAACAAAAATGAAATTGAATGAACAGCAGATTATGTTATTTTTCTACATCAGACGGCTAAAATATACTACTCCGAAACAAATGTTTTTTTTGGTATATTTCTTCGATGGATAGGTAGGCAAACATTTTAGACATGTACCCAACCATTTCAGTAAATTTTATATGATATATGTATACATGTACTGATATTTTAATGCTTGAAAAATACTCAAACTTTTTGTTTACATATATAATAGTCTAGCATTGTTGTAATTATTGTATTTAAATTAATGCTATATGTTTATAGAAGAACATGCTTTTACTGTGTCACTACTGTCGTTATAAACACTATATTTCACGACTGTCGGTATATACACTATATTTCACGACTGTCGGTACATACACTATAATTCACGACTGCCGGTATATACACTATATTTCACGACTGTCGGTATATACATTATATTTCACGACTGCTGGTATATATAATATATTTCACGACTGCTGGTATATACACTATAAGTCACGACTGCTGGTATATATACTATATTTCACGACTGCTGGTATATACACTATATTTCACGACTGTCGGTATATATATTATATTTCACGACTGCTGGTATATACACTATATTTCACGACTGTCGGTATATACATTATATTTCACGACTGCTGGTATATACACTATATTTCACGACTGTCGGTATATACACTATATTTCACGACTGTCGGTATATACACTATATTTCACGACTGCTCGGTATATACATTATATTTCACGACTGTCGGTATATACATTATATTTCACGACTGCTGGTATATACACTATATTTCACGACTGTCGGTATATACATTATATTTCACGACTGCCGGTATATATACTATATTTCACGACTGCTGGTATATATACTATATTTCACGACTGCTGGTATATACACTATATTTCACGACTGTCGGTATATACATTATATTTTACGACTGCCAGTTTATATACTATATCTCACGACTGTCGGTATATACATTATATTTCACGACTGCCGGTATATATATACTATATTTCACGACTGTCGGTATATACATTATATTTCACGACTGCCGGTATATATACTATATTTCACGACTGCCGGTATATATACTATATTTCACGACTGTCGGTATATACACTATATTTCACGACTGCCGGTATATACACTATATTTCACGACTGTCGGTATATATACTATATTTCACGACTGCTGGTATATATATTATATTTCACGACTGTCGGTATATATACTATATTTCACGACTGCCGGTATATACACTATATTTCACGACTGTATATAGTACTATATACACTATATTTCACGACTGCCGGTATATACACTATATTTCACGACTGCCGGTATATACACTATATTTCACGACTGCCGGTATATATACTATATTTCACGACTGCCGGTATATATACTATATTTCACGACTGTCGGTATATACATTATATTTCACGACTGCCGGTATATACACTATAATTCACGACTGTCGATATATACACTATATCTCACGACTGTCGGTATATACACTATATTTCACGACTGCTGGTATATACACAATATTTCACGACTGCCGGTATATAGTACTTTATACACTATATTTCACGACTGCTGGTATATACACTATATCTCACGACTGCCGGTATATAGTACTATATACACTATATTTCACGACTGCTGGTATATACACTATATTTCACGACTGCCGGTATATACATTATATTTCACGACTGTCGGTATATATACTATATTTCACGACTGTCGGTATATACACTATATTTCACGACTGTCGGTATAATATACTATATTTTCACGACTGTCGGTATATACACTATATTTCACGACTGTCGGTATATACACTATATTTCACGACTGCTGGTATATACATTATATTTCACGACTGTCGGTATATATACTATATTTCACGACTGCCGGTATATACACAATATTTCACGACTGCCGGTATATACATTATATTTCATGACTGCTGGTATATACATTATATTTCACGACTGTGGTATATACATTATATTTCACGACTGTTGGTATATACATTATATTTTACGACTGTCGGTATATATACTACATATTTCACGACTGCCGGGTATATACACAATATTTCACGACTGCCGGTATATACACTATATTTCACGACTGCCGGTATATACATTATATTTCACGACTGTCGGTATATACACAATATTTCACGACTGCTGGTATATACATTATATTTTCACGACTGCTGGTATATACACTATAAGTTCACGACTGCTGGTATATACACAATATTTCACGACTGCTGGTATATACATTATATTTCATGGACTGTCGGTAATATACATTATATTTCACGACTGTCCGGTATATACACAATATTTCACGACTGTGGGTATATATACACTATATTCACGACTGCTGGTATATACATTATATTTCACGACTGTCGGTATATATATACTATATTTCACGACTGCTGGTATATCCATTATATTTCACGACTGTCGGTATATATATACTATATTTCACGACTGCCGGTATATACACAATATTTCACGACTGCCGGTATATACACTATATTTCACGACTGCTGGTATATACATTATATTTCACGACTGTCGGTATATACACAATATTTCACGACTGCTGGTATATACATTATATTTCACGACTGCTGGTATATACATTATATTTCACGACTGTCGGTATATACACAATATTTCACGACTGCTGGTATATACACACTATATTTCACGACTGCTGGTATATACATTATATTTCACGACTGTCGGTATATACATTATATTTCACGACTGTCGGTATATACACAATATTTCACGGGACTGCTGGTATATACACTATATTTCACGACTGCTGGTATATACATTATATTTCACGACTGTCGGTATATACACAATATTTCACGACTGCTGGTATATACATTTTATTTCACGACTGTCGGTATATATACTATATTTCACGACTGCCGGTATATACACAATATTTCACGACTGCCGGTATATACACTATATTTCACGGACTGTCGGTATATAACACTATATTTCACGACTGCTGGTATATCACACAAATATTTCACGACTGTCGGTATATATACTATATTTTCACGACTGTCGGTATATATACTATATTTCACGAATGCTGGTATATACATATATTATATTTTCACGAATGTCGGTATATACACAATATTTTCACGACTGCCGGTATATATACTATATTTCACGACTGTCGGTATATATACTATATTTCACGACTGCTGGTATATACATTATATTTCACGAATGTTCGGTATATACACAATATTTCACGACTGCTGGTATATATATACTATATTTCACGACTGTCGGTATATATACTATATTTCACGACTGCTGGTATATACATTATATTTCACGACTGTCGGTATATATACTATATTTCACGACTGTCGGTATATATTACTATATTTCACGACTGCCGGTATATACACTATAAGTCACGACTGTCGGTATATACACTATATTTTCACGACTGTCGGTATATACATTATATTTCACGATGCTGGTATATATATTATATTTCACGACTGTCGGTATATATACTATATTTCACGACTGCTAGTATATATATTATATTTCACGACTGTCGGTATATATACTATATTTCACGACTGTCGGTATATATACTATATTTCACGACTGCTGGTATATATATTATATTTCACGACTGTCGGTATATATACTATATTTCACGACTGTCGGCATATATACTATATTTCACGACTTCTGGTATATACACTATATTTCACGACTGCCGGTATATACACTATAATTCACGACTGTCGGTATATATACTATATTTCACGACTGCCGGTATATATACTATATTTCACGACTGCTGGTATATATATTATATTCGCTACTGTACTATATTTCACGACTGCCGGTATATACACTATAATTCACGACTGCCGGTATATACACTATATTTCACGACTGCCGGTATATACGGTATATATACTATAATTCACGACTGCCGGTATATCACGACTGTCGGTATATATACTATATTTCACGACTGCCGGACTATATTTCACGACTGCCGGTATATAGTACTATATACACTATATTTCACGACTGCTGGTATATACATTATATTTCACGACTGTCGGTATATACACTATATTTCACGACTGCCGGTATATACACTATATTTCACGACTGCCGGTATATATAATATATCTCACGACTGCCGGTATATATACTATATTTCACGGACTGCCGGTATATATACTATATTTCACGACTGCTGGTATATAGTACTATATACACTTTATTTCACGACTGTCTGTATATACACTTTATTTCACGACTGCTGGTATATACATTAATATTACACGACTGCCGGTATATATACTATATCTCACGACTGCTGGTATATATACTATATTTCACGACTGCCGGTATATACACTATATTTCACGACTGCTGGTATATAGTACTATATACACTTTATTTCACGACTGCCAGTATATACACTATATTTCACGACTGCTGGTTTATACACTATGTAGGCTAATTACGTACCCACTTGTAACACATTCCTGGAGATAATGAGAAAGATATTCTGTTTATTATAAAGATAATGTTTAACCTGGAGATGCCAGAACGATAATTTTCTTAGAATTTTACCGATTATATACTGCAGTCTCTAACCTGAGAAGATTTTATCAGCTTTACAAAACTTTAACTTTTTCTGTGGATATTTTTTCATATTATTTACGGGTTTTTTGGTGGCTTTTGTAGACGATTAATCAATGTTTAAAGTATATATAATCGAAATATACTTGAACGTCAATCACTTGGCTATGGAAAATTTGTTAAACTGGCATTAATTAAAGCGTATGAATAACTATTATTTTGTTAATGCACATGTTTAAAATGCTTTAACTTGGGGAAATGGATTATTTATATTTTATTTCTACATGGATGTTTATACTTAAGGATATAAAGTCATAATTAGTATATTATAAAGAGGAAGGAAATTACCACTCTAACTTAATTGTTCAACAATTATGACAACTTGATATGACCATAGTTTATACGTAATATATATGATTGAGTCTGGATATTATATCTATAGAGTTAAAGCTTACGCTGACAACTTATATATTTTATGAAAATACAAGTGTTGAATATATTTCTATCAGATCTCAGCTACGTTATTGTATAAGTTTAAGTGGTAGTCAATTTATATACAAACAAATATAGAGAGTTTGTAATGACAGATTGTCACGAGTTAATTACTTAAATTAGTTGTGTGGGTTATTAACACTAACGTCTTGTATATTTGTGATTTTGGATGCAGAAATAAGGAAGATGTGTAGAAAGTTAAACTAAGGTTTTTCCTACACGTTTTATCATTATTCTTTATATAGCGACTAACCAGCGAATCACATGCTTGTTTACGACCCTGATATATTTACAACCACGATCCAAGTACTTGTGTGTTTAGCTGTCATTGTAATTGTAGCTATAGCCATGTCGAACAAGGATAACAAGAAAACCCTACCCCCGGGACCCAGGCGGTACCCTGTACTGGGTAATTTATCGCAACTTAAAGGGGACGAGATGTTTTATGTGAAACTGAACGAGATGCGCAAAACTCACGGAGATGTTCTTTATTTACAACTAGGGGCTGTCAAAATGCTCGTAGTATTCGGACATGATAAGGTAAAAAAAGTGTTGCAAGATCAAAAGGATAATTTTAAATACCGACCAATATGGTTAGTGGAGATTAAAACCCTGGACCTTACAAAAGGTGAGAGACTCTTAAGTTTACGTGTTTATCTTGAGGTATGAATAAATATACTAAATTCTTTCATAAAAGGAATGCATTCGAGTGAAAAATGATAAGAAAACAAAATATTTAAAAAAGCTTAACATAGGATTGAATTCATTTAAAATCTATAAATTTACACGCTTTATACTGATGTACGAAAGATGCAAAATAATTTTAAAATGTAGCAAATATATTTGATATAAACGTTTATGTATTTCAACTGCTGTTATGTTATTGAAAGGCTAAATGTGTTTTTAGTTGATGTATCTAATATAATTGAATTCCAAACTATAACAACAAAGGGAAAGTATCTTTACTTTATAAGGCAGTTATAAATCAAGTCAAAACTTATTCGGCGTTTCAGTTAACAAATTAGGCCCCGGTTGCTATGTACATTTCTCAAGTAGAGAAGTTAAACTATTCACGTTACAGAAGTAAGATTGATGGTTGACTGAATGATTGTAGTCTAGGTATAAAACCACAGATCCGTGATGAACTGATTGTTGTAAAATTACTGTCTCAACAAATGTTAGTAACAGTAGCAAAATAAAGATATATTCATTCATTTTTACTGAAACAGAATAATGATGTAGTGTCTTAATGAACAACAACAACAGCCCCAGGTTATAGGTCATTTCATACTCAACTGTCCGATCATCAGTCTATCATATAAACGATGTCCGAGCTGTTGATGTGATCGAGTCAACATATCTTAAACAAAACCCATCGTGTTTCTACACTATCGTATCTTAAAGCTCTATATTTAGATCATTTTGCTTTATGCATTTGTTTGCTGAATGAATCAGTTGTTGACATGACCAGGTGAAAATAATTTTCTTTTTACAACCGGTTTGTTGACAATAGAGAGAATACTGAAATAATATACAGACATTTTTAAATAATTATACTGTTCATTTTCCGGCGTTCAGTAACTTGATACATGTGTATTTCTAAATGAATGTACAATTTTGTCAGTATAAAACATATTAAAGGTCTCTGTTTACAACATGACATAATTTATACAGTTTGAAAAGCAGCTTAACTGTTTACAACTTCTATAATAAACAATCTCCATATCTATATATATACAAGTCATGCATATATTATATTGATCTGACAGAATGGTAATATATAATCTCTAGTTCAATATAACCCTTCAATATGACAGTTATCAATATTGAACAATTTACCTAGGCTGTTAAGTACTAACTCGGACCAATCTACTTTATCATATGTGTTTGTATTTGCAGGTATTGTTTGGTCCAACGGTTTACAAAACGACAAAATACGAACATTTGCTCTGCCCGCGGTCTTTCCCGGGCTTGGACCCGTAACACTGACCCAGAGAGTTCAGATCGAGGCTGAAATGGTCGTTAAAGCTCTTCTTACAGAAAAGGGAGACTCGTCGACATTAAAGAAAATATTTTACAACGCCATTTGTAATATCAACTGCGGGCTGATCTTTGGATCAAGGTAAAACTATCATATGCTGTATTGCCTATTACATTTCTGTACATACAAAACTATAGGAACACATCATTTGTCTTATCTAAGGTCTATGAGACTGGCAATTTAAAGTTATAAACTGGTCTCATGTTCTCAGCGTTACCGATGTACTAGAGACGTTTAATTATATTATAATACAAGGCTGTCATAACATCCTCAGATGGCTTGATCAACATTTTGCCGTTACCCGAATGGTCGTACGTCCCGGTATTGATTAACATTGTGACGTTATCCAGATGGCCGAACGTCCCTGTATTGATTCACATTGTGACGTTACCCAGATGGCCGAAGGCCCCTACGTCCCGGTATTGATTAACATTGTGACGTTACCCAGATGGCCGAAGGCCCCTACGTCCCGGTATTGATTAACATTGTGACGTTATCCAGATGGCCGAAGGCCCCTACGTCCCGGTATTGATTCACATTGTGACGTTACCCAGATGGCCGAAGGCCCCTACGTCCCGGTATTGATTGACATTGTGACGTTATCCAGATGGCCGAAGGCCCCTACGTCCCGGTATTGATTAACATTGTGACGTTACCCAGATGGCCGTACGTCCCTGTATTGATTCACATTGTGACGTTACCCAGATGGCCGTACGTTCCGGTATTGATTCACATTGTGCCGTTACCTAGATGGCCGTACGTCCCTGTATTGATTAACATTGTTGCCGTTACCCAAATGGCCGTACGTCCCGGCATTGTGACGTTATCCAGATAGCCGTACGTCCCTGTATTGATTCACATTGTGACTTTGCTCATATGACCGTACGTCCCTGTATTTATTCACATTGTGACGTTACCCAGATGGCCGTACGTCCCGGTATTGATTCACATTGTGACGTTATCCAGATGACCGTACGTCCCTGTATTGAATTCACATTGTGCCGTTACCAAGATGGCCGTACGTTCTGGTATTGATTCATATTGTGCCGTTACCTAGATGGTCGTACGTCCCGGTATTGATTAACATTGTGACGTTACCCAGAGGCCGTACGTCCCGTTATTGATTAACATTGTGACGTTACCCAGATGGCCGTACGTCCGGTATTGATTCACATTGTGCCGTTACCTAGATGGCCGTACGTCCCTGTATTGATTAACATTGTGCCGTTACCCGAATGGCCGTACGTCCCGGCATTGATTAACATTGTGACGTTACCCAGATGGCCGCACGTCCTTGTTATTGATTCACATTGTGACTTTGCTCAGATGACCGTACGGCCCTGTAATGATTCACATTGTGATTTTGCTCAGATGACCGTACGTCCCTGTATTGATTAACATTGTGCCGTTACCCAGATGGCCGCACGTCTCTGTATTGATTCACATTGTGACTTTCCTCAGATGACTGTTCGTCTCGGTATTGATTCACATTGTGACTTTGCTCAGATGACCGTACGTCCCTGTATTGATTAACATTGTGCCGTTACCCAGATGACCGCACGTCCCTGTATTGATTCACATTGTGACTTTCCTCAGATGACTGTACGTCTCGGTATTGATTCACATTGTGACTTTGCTCAGATGACCATGCGTCCCTGTATTGATTCACATTGTGCCGTTGCCCAGATGGCCGTACGTGCCTGTATTTATTCACATTGTGACGTTACCAAGACGACCGTACGATCTGTTTTGGTTCACAATGTGACGACACCCAGATGGCCGTACGTCCCTATATTGATTACCATTTTGACGTTACCCAGATGGCCGTACGTCCCTATATTGATTCACATTTTGACGTTACCAAGATGGCCGTACGTCCCTAAATTGAACCACATTTTGACGTTACCCAGATGGCTGAACGTCCCTATATTTATTCACATTGTGACGTTACCCATACGATCGTACGTTCTGTATTGATTCACATTTTGACCCTACCCAGACGGCCGTACGACCTGTATTGATTACCATTGTGACGTTACCCAGACGGTCGTACGTCCCTGTATTGATTCACATTTTAACGCTACCCAGACGGCCGTACGTCCCTATATTGATTCACATTTTGACGTTACCCATAAGATCTTACGTCCTGTATTGATTCACATTTTGACACTACCCAGACGGCCGTACGACCTGTATTGATTCACATTGTGACTTTTCCCAGCTCTCCATTTTTACCCGTATTGATTCACAAGGTACCAAGACCCAGATGTACCTGTATTATTGATACTCAGTGTGACGTTACCAAGATTGTCTGACGTTTCTGTAGTGATTCACAGTGTGACGTTACCAAGAAGGTCTGACGTTTCTGTATTGATTCACAGTGTGACGTTACCAAGATGGCCTGACGTTTCTGTATTGATTCACAGTTTGACGTTACCAAGAAGGTCTGACGTTTTTGTATTGATTCACAGTGTGACGTTACCAAGAAGGTCTGACGTTTTTGTATTGATTCACAGTGTGACGTTACCAAGAAGGTCTGACGTTTCTGTATTGATTCACATTGGACGTTACCAAGAAGGTCTGACGTTTTTGTATTGATTCAAAGTGTGACGTACCAAGAAGGTCTGACGTTTCTGTATTGATTCACAGTGTGACGTTACCAAAAGAAGGTCTGACGTTTATGTATTGATTTACAGTGTGACGTTACCAAGAAGGTCTGACGTTTTTGTATTTGATTCACAGTGTGACGTACCAAGAAGATCTGACGTTTTTGTATTGATTCACAGTGTGACGTACCAAGAAGGTCTGACGTTTTTGTATTGATTCACAGTGTGACGTTACCAAGAAGGTCTGACGTTTTTGTATTGATTCACAGTGTGACATACCAAGAAGGTCTGACGTTTCTGTATTGATTCACAGTGTGACGTACCAAGAAGGTCTGGCGTTTTTGTATTGATTCACAGTGTGACGTTACCAAGAAGGTCTGACGTTTTTGTATTGATTCACAGTGTGACGTACCAAGAAGGTCTGACGTTTCTGTATTGATTCACAGTGTGACGTACCAAGAAGGTCTGACGTTTTTGTATTGATTTCACAGTGTGACGTTACCAAGAAGGTCTGACGTTTCTGTATTGATTCACAGTATGACGTACCAAGAAGGTCTGACATTTCTGTATTGATTCACAGTGTGACGTTACCAAGAAGGTCTGACGTTTCTGTATTGATTCACAGCGTGACGTTACCAAGAAGGTCTGACGTTTCTGTATTGATTCACAGTGTGACGTACCAAGAAGGTCTGACGTTTCTGTATTGATTCACAGTGTGACGTACCAAGAAGGCCTGACGTTTTTGTATTGATTCACAGTGTGACGTTACCAAGAAGGTCTGACGTTTTTGTATTGATTCACAGTGTGACGTACCAAGAAGGTCTGACGTTTTTGTATTGATTCACAGTGTGACGTTACCAAGAAGGCCTGACGTTTCTGTATTGATTCACAATGTGATGTTACCAAGAATGTCCGACGTTTCTGTATTGATTCACAAGGTTACGTAATCCAGATGGCCTTACCTCTCTGTATTAATTTACATATTGACGTTACCCAGATGTCCATTCGTGCATGTATTGATTCACAATGTGACATTACCTAGATGTTACCCTGATGGCCTTACGTCTTTGTATTTATTCACAAAGTGCGTAACCTAAACGACCGTACGTCCGGTATTGATTTACAAGAGATGGCCGAACGTCTCTGTATTGAATCAGATAACAGTACCCAGATGACCGTAAGTCGCCGTGTTCATTCACAAAGAGACATTACTTTAATTTGTGTACGTCCTTGTTTTGATTCACGAGGTGACATTAATCAGATGTTTGTACGCCCCTGTGTTGATTGACAGCTTAAGTTTACCATATACCTTTACACCCCTGTATTGATTCACAAGGTGACGCTACTTTCCTGTATTGTATGACTATCTTGGTAATTCAATACAGGGACGTGCGGACATCTGGACAATTTTATATTGTGAGTCTGTCTTACGTCCCTATATATTTCCTGATATTACCAAGATACTGGTAGATGGAATACGCCACTGTTTACAAGATGGTCGTACGTCCCTGTATATTACCTGATATTACCAAGATACTGGTAGATGGAATACGCCATTGTTTACAAGATGGTCGTACGTCCCTGTATTGATTCACAAGATGACTTAAACTTTTAATATAACATTGAACATAAGTCAGCTTCATTATTGAGTGCGTTAAATAACAATCTAGCTACTGCAAGAATAGAAGGATACAGAGCATGAGTGTATTATCGAGTATTCTATATTCATATTTACCAAAATCTGCAAATGTTATACACAAGGGACTAGTTATTTGAGGATTGCTGACCGTATGGGTTTAAACCCCGTCACGGGCAAGAAATTTTACACCTAACAGCCATTTTGCTTTGAAAATCTGTTTATGAAATAAATTGAAAATACTGAAATTTCTAAATATGTCATAACATTTAAACTATACTCAATTATATACATATAAAAATACCTGAAAAACTAATGTCATTTAACTGTTCTAGTGAAGCGACACATCTTATAATATGATAAGATCATTTTACACACATAGTTCACCATCCACAACTTGTTAGAGTAATTTTCCTTCATTTATTGGTGAAATAAGCAAATCAAAATTTTTAAATATTTTTTTGACAGGTTGACATTGCTTACAGCAGATATGATACATTATAACAGTACAATATATGATGTATAAAGTCCTCTCAAATATTTTTTTTTTCAGCGGTATATTCGCATTTAATGTCTTAGCTAGAATATCAATTATTCTTTAACATAAGTGAAATAGTAACTGTTGATAGAAACATGAAAGTTGTGATATATTTACTGACCTGACTACATTAAAATAACAAACAATACAGCTAAAATTGATATAACACCTGTATTTATCTAGAACGACAATTCAGACTAATACTAGCATAATACCTGTACTGATTTTGGCTTAAAAAATTACAGGCAGAGAACATGCAATGATTTTAGTTAACATTCCAGACTAAAACATGTACTGGCATAGAACATGTACTTACTTTAGCCAACATTCCAGACTAATACTGGCATAGAACATGTACTTACTTAGCCAACATTCCATACTAATACTGGCATAGAACATGTACTTACTTAAGCCAACATTCCATACTAATACTGGCATAGAACATGTACTTACTTAAGCCAACATTCCAGACTAATACTGGCATAGAACATGTACTTACTTAAGCCAACATTCCATACTAATACTGGCATAGAACATGTACTTACTTAGCCAACATTCCATACTAATACTGGCATAGAACATGTACTTACTTAAGCCAACATTCCAGACTAATACTGGCATAGAACATGTACTTACTTTTGCCAACATTCTAGACTAATACTGGCTAAAATCTTGTGCTAACTTTAGCCAACAATCCAGATTTATACTGGCATAATACTTGTATTAATCTAGATTAGACTGGTATATATTGCAATATATTTGGTAAGATAATCACATTTTTCAGATGTTTGCCAATTTTTTTATCAAACTATCTTCTCTATTATTTTAAAGAAAATTCAAAAATCTCTCTATATAGGTACAGAACTCTATGACCTCAGTTATCAGAAAATGACCTTTCATGTTCACCGTCTTTAAAATGATCATATTTTTGTTTTTGTGTTCGTCACAATACATACAGGATGCACTTAATGCAATTTAAAAGTATGTCTGTATCATACATAATGATCTGTGAAGTGTTGAAGTAGGTGCATGTATTAATTATCAAGTAGGCACGTGTTCCTGAACCACGTGATTCTTGATTTAATAGACCAGTAAATAAAAATGATTTATTCTACACGATTTCATAGACCATGCAGTGAATTAACTTAATTTATTCTACTATATTTCATAGACCAGTAAATTAACTTGATTTATTCTACACGATTTCATAGACCAGTAAATTAACTTGATTTATTCTACACGATTTCATAGACCAGTGAATTAACTTGATTTATTCTGCACGATTTCATAGACCAGCAAATTAACTTGATTTATTCTAAACAATTTCATAGACCAGTAAATTAACATGATTTATTGTAAACGATTTTATAGACCAGTGAATTAACTTGATTTATTCTAAACAATTTCATAGACCAGTAAATTAACATGATTTATTGTACACGATTTTATAGACAAGTGAATTAACTTGATTTATTCTAAACAATTTCATGGACCAGTAAATTAACATGATTTATTCTGAACGATTCCATAGACCAGCGAATTAACTTGATTTATTCTAAACAATTTCATAGACCAGTAAATTAACATGATTTATTCAACACAATTTTATAGACCAGTGAATTAACTTGATTTATTCTAAACAATTTCATAGACCAGTAAATTAAGTTGATTTATTCTACACGATTTTATAGACCAGTGAATTAACTTGATTTATTCTAAACAATTTCATAGACCAGTAAATTAACATGATTTATTCTACACAATTTCATAGACCAGTGAATTAACTTGATTTATTCTACACGATTTCATAGACCAGTAAATTAACATGATTTATTCTACACGATTTCATAGACCAGTGAATTAACTTGATTTATTCTAAACAATTTCATAGACCAGTAGATAAACATGATTTATTCTTCACGATTTCATAGACCAGTAAATTAAGTTGATTTATTCTACAAAATTTCATAGACCAGTAAATTAACATGATTTTATTCTACACGATTTCATAGACCATGCAGTGAATTAACTTAATTTATTCTACTATATTTCATAGACCAGTTAATTAACTTGATTTATTCTACACGATTTTATAGACCAGTGAATTTACTTGTTTTATTCTGTTCGATTTCATAGACCAGTGAATTAACTTGATTTATTTTACACGATTTCATAGACCAGTGAATTAACTTGATTTATTCTACACGATTTCATAGACCAGTGAATTAACTTGATTTATTCTACACGATTTCATAGACCATTTAATTAAATTGATTTATTCTACACGATTTCATAGACCAGTGAATTTACGTGATTTATTCTACACGATTTCATAGACCAGTAAATTTACTTTATTTATTCTAAACAATTTCATAGACCAGTGAATTAACTTGATTTAATCTGCACGATTTCATAGACCAGCGAATTAACTTGATTTATTCTTAACAATTTCATAGACCAGTAAATTAACATGATTTATTCTACACGATTTTATAGACCAGTGAATTAACTTGATTTGTTCTAAACAATTTCATACACCAGTGAATTAACATGATTTATTCTACACGATTCCATAGACCAGTAAATTAACTTGATTTATTTTACACGATTTCATAGGCCATTAGATTAACTTGATTTATTCTACACGATTTCATAGACCAGTAAATTAACTTGATTTATTCTAAACAATTTTATAGACCAGTAGATAAACATGATTTATTCTACACGATTTCATAGACCAGTGAATTAACTAGATTTATTCTACACGATTTCATAGACCAGTAAATTAACTTCATTTATTCTACACGGTTTGATAGACCAGCAAAGTAACATGATTTATTCTAAACGATTTCATAGACCAGTGAATTAACTTGATTTATTCTACACGATTTCATAGACCAGTGAATTGACTTGATTTACTCTACACGATTTCATAGACCAGTAAATTAAGTTGATTTATTCTACACGATTTCATAGACCAGTAAATTAATTTGATTTATTCTACACGATTTCAAAGACCAGTGAATTAACTTGATTTATTCTACACGATTTCATAGACCAGTAAATTAAGTTGATTTATTCTACACGATTTCATAGACCAGTAAATTAATTTGATTTATTCTACACGATTTCATAGACCAGTGAATTTACTTGATTTATTCTACACGATTTCATAGACCAGTGAATTTACTTGATTTATTCTACACGATTTCATAGACCAGTGAATTGACTTTATTTATTCTACACGATTTCATAGACAAGTAAATTAAGTTGATTTATTCTACACGATTTCATAGACCAGTAAAGTAACATGATTTATTCTACACGATTTCATAGACCAGTGAATTAACTTGATTTATTCTACACGATTTCATAGACCAGTGAATTATCTTGATTTATTCTACACAATTTCATAGACCAGTGAATTAAATTGATTTATTCTATATGATTTCATAGACCAGTGAATTAACTTGATTTATTCTAGACAATTTCATAGACCAGTTAATGAACTTGATTTATTCTACATGATTTCATAGACTAGTGAATTTATTTGTTTTTCTTTCTACTCGATTTCATATACCAGTAAATTAACTGGATTTATTTTACATGATTTCATAGACCAGTAAACTTTAATAATTATACACTATTTAATCACTAACTTTCTTAAACAGAACGTCAAAATTAAAATTATTTCGAGAAGTAAAAATATTTTTTGGTTATATGAGCTTTAATTTATATGAGCTTTTAAAGTTGTTTAGTCAATATAACTTCCAATAATATTAGTCATTATATTCTTAGATTTCTTGAATTTAAATAACTTTGATCGCACACTTTTGCTGACCGAACGGACATTGTTTTAAAAGAAACACTATGTCTGTAACTGTACCTGTAACTGTAAATTAATTTACGTTTATTAATATACATGTTTGTATGAAGGGAAGTGTTAACATAAGAACTAAATTTACAGAAAAATATTTCTCGAGTGTTTCTGTAATTCAAAGATTGAAATGTGCCCTTATAAGAACGTTACGAATCATCATCATCATCATCATCATCATAACCATGATCAACATCATCATCATCATCATCATCACCGCCACCATCACCAATATCATCATTATCACCACCACCATCACTTGTACAGTGTATCACCACCACCACCACCATCATCATCACCATTATATTATTATTAGTAGTAGTAGTATTTTTATTATTACATTATTATTACATTTTAAGGTACGAGTACGCGGACACAGAGTTTCAAGAGTTTATCGGTTTAATGGATCAGCTTCTGCAGCGACAAGGAATTAAGAATCCTCTCAACTTTTTCCCTGTTTTACAAAAACTGCCAGACTCAAAAAAGGTAAGATAACTTCCATACAGCTATATCACCCTGCATTTATCGCAGCTATATCACACTGTATTTACCGCAGCTATATCACCCTGTATTTACCGCTACTATATCACCCTGTATTTACCGCAGGTTTATCACCTTGCATTTACCGCAGTTATATAACCCTGTATTTACCGCAGCTATATCACCCTGTATTTACTGCAGTTATATAACCCTGTATTTACGCAGCTATATCACCCTGTATTTACCGCAGTTATATAAACCCATATTTACTACAGCTATATCACCCTGTATTTACCGCAGTTATATAACCCTGTATTTACCGCAGCTATATCACCGTGTATTTACCGCAGCTATATCACCCTTTACCGCACGTTATAGACAGATAAGAAATATATTAAAGCAAAATAAAAAATACATTTTCAATAGAGTAAATTACGAAAATGCGCTGTACCGTCCAATCAAATGACGCTTCCACGGACATTTTTACTTGATGGGATGGGTCCTGTTTGGCACCCTGCCTGATGACGTGACCTTACCGGTACAGATATCACCTTATTTTATATGTGTAATGTCTGATTAATATACATAATATATCTTTTCAAATTTATAAAATAACTAAGTGTACATGTTTTTATTGCAGACAAAAGAAAGTAGATGTGTCATTTCGAAGGTATCAGAATTCATTCATACCAAAATTCAGACGGCACGAGAAACATTTAACAAAGAAAATATCACCAGCCTTGTAGATCTTTACCTAGCACAGGAGGGAGAAGAAAATTGTGTCACAGGTAAAAAACCTTACAGGTGTTATAACAGAATACTTCATGTTATTTTCCGTGTTCACGAGTATACGTTTATTATGTAAGGATGTTATAGTATGATGGTAATGTTTATGATAATGTGTATTATATTTTATGATGCTGCATGGATATAAATTTGATAATAAACGATGAAAGTATGTTTCACAAGTAGACCACTATATGATGTACTGTCACAAGTATTCTTTAACACTGCTCTTGTCAAATTCCGCGGTGATGTTGCACCACTTAACGTAGAAATTGGCTGTTATGAAGAACTACAATAGCTTGATAGAAATTGTCCATTCTGTATGGATAAAGTTGAAACGGAAATACATGTCCTGAGACAAATACACGTCCTGATACAATGTCCATTGTATAACAGTTATATAATATATACTTGTTGAAAAGGCCTGCAAAGCCTTTGAAAACGTTCAAATCATAGGTGATAAAGATAAGTTTCAATTTTTGTTCCTCCACCCAGATATTATAAGGATTTTAGCACACAAAAAAACTGTTTAGATTATGGAAAGCATAACCAGCTGTTAATAGATATATTAACTGTATTTAAAAGTTGTGAAACTGGATAACTGTAACATAATGACAAAATGTGTTAGCTTATCATGTTTACTCCTTGTTTTATATATGTGTTTACTTAACCATTGCTAATCATTTCATCCTGGACTTGATCATGACTTTCAATACATCTTATAAAATATTTCTTATTCCTTGCTCATCTTGTGCCAAAGTTTTCACATATCATCTTTTAATGTTAATCTTTTTTATGACTGTATTAGCAGGTGTTATCTTTTTTATTTATTTCGTAGATAAAATTTGTCCTATAATTCTGTCTAAAATGGCCATTATTGAATTAAGCCACCGTTAATTATGTATATGTTATGGTAGCGCAATAAAACTAGTATCTACTATATAATACTCTATATAATTGTGTAAATATTTGTGGTTATATAGATATCATAAACAATTAAAATGCCTGCATTGTTATTCTCATCTTTCTTTCATTAACGAGCATGCTTAAAACAAACATTTTCATGTTTTAATTTCCTTGTTACAAACTGCTCTATCGTTCTTATCATGACGTGACCACGCTTATTTTTCAGAGGAGAATATTTGTCATATTGTACGAGATTTTTTCGTGGCGGGGACTGAAAATGTTGCTATAGGTCTAGTATGGCTGATTGGTTACATGGTCACACATACAGATGTACAAGAAAAATGTCGTCAGTACATATTACAGGTAAATAAAAAAAAAAGTCTTTACATAACTTTAAATGTGAACTAAATGCAACAACATACATCTTTGCTGCACATCATTTAAATTTAACTGTAAATAGGACCGATGTGATGATTTTCACACAATAATTTATAGCTTTACTAATTTACAGCTTTACTAATTGGGGAAACGTCAGGTTCTTCGCCGCACATTGTTTAAGACAGATGCTCCAACCCATGCTTTTTAGGCATCTTTCCGTACGTTACTTAAAACAGAAGCTCCAACCCATGCTTTTTAGGCATCTTTCCGTACGTTTCTTAAGACAGTTGCGCCAACCTATGCCTTTTTAGGCATCTTTCCGTATGTTATTTAAGACAGATGCTCCAACCCATGCTTTTTAGGCATCTTTCCGTACGTTTCTTAAGACAGTTGCGCCAACCTATGCCTTTTTAGGCATCTTTCCGTATGTTATTTAAGACAGAAGCTCCAACCCATGCTTTTTAGACATCTTTCCGTATGTGATTTAAAGACAGATGCTCCAACCTATGGTTTTTAGGCATCTTTCCGCACGTTTCTTAAGACATTTGCGCCAACCTATGCCTTTTTAGGCATCTTTCCGGATGTTATTTAAGACAGAAGCTCCAACCCATGCTTTTTAGGCATCTTTCCGTATGTTATTTAAGACAGAAGCTCCAACCCATGCTTTTTAGACATCTTGCCGTATGTGATTTAAAGACAGATGCTCCAACCTATGGTTTTTAGGCATCTTTCCGAACGTTTCTTAAAACTGTTGCGCCAACCTATGCCTTTTTAGGCATCTTTTCGTATGTTATTTATGACAGAAGCTCCAACCCATGGTTTTTAGGCATCTTTCCGTATGTTGTTTAAGACAGAAGCTCCAACCCATGGTTTTTAGGCATCTTTCCGTACGTTATTTAAAGACAGAAGCTCCAACCCATGCTTTTTAGGCATCTTTCCGTACGTTACTTAAAACAGAAGCCCCAACCCATGCTTTTTAGGCATCTTTCCGTATGTGATTTAAAGACAGATGCTCCAACCCATGCTATTTCATGCATCTTACCGTATGTTATTTCACAGAAATCAGTGCTACGCTGTGTGTTGTTACAAAAAGTGGCACATTGTGTGTTACTTAAGGGTAAAGGAACCACCTTGTGATTTATTACAAACAAAAATCGGCAATTTGTGTGAACATTGCTACTCTGTAAGCCTTTTAGACCTTTTTCTTTATTTTTTTATGTTCCTCTGTACGTTATGTCAGGCATAGTCGAACACCAGGTAGAATAAAATCTTTTTGCAATCACACTTGTATATTGATAAAATAAATCGTTTGTGCACCTTTATATGCATTAACATCTGTAGAAGCACAAGGAAACATTTAAAGTTCGAGCCAGCACATCAGTCGCATTTGAATGTCGGTACAATTCATAGTTAATAAATGTTCCATTTCTAAACAGCAGACGACAGAAGATAACAAGACGATATCTATGGAAGACATAGAAAAAGTCCCGTATATAGAAGCAACCGTTCAAGAGGTTCTTCGATTGGCTAACATAGGTAGATACATGTTTGTATTATGTGTAAATGTACGTACATGTGTACTAAAACAGCATGTAAGTTTTGTTTCCCGACTCATTTATACCGAGTTCTCACTTACCGGTATAAAACAGTATAAACCACTCTTGTATCAAGTATCAACTAGTACAGGATGTAAAATCCCCCAAAGCAATAAAATTAGTTTAGTATTCTTTTATTTCAAATTCTTGACTACATTAACCACGCACGTTTAAGAATGATTGTGTATCCATGGTAGATTAATGTAAAAGATATTGTTAAGTGAAATTTGATGGCTTGAAATAGCTGTTGTCGTCTTACTTGTATACAATATAAAGATAAAATAAAAACAAAGAAGAAGAAAAGAGCCCTAAAACGTATTATGAATTATAATACAAATAGACAGAAAAACCCAAAGAAGTAACAACGGATGTGTATAAATAATTAGAATAAGATATAATCTGTGTGATCTTACGGACGACGATCGAGCTCGCTATAACTAAGTTTAATGTTAATTAAAAAGTATGCGTTAAGCACGGGCACGTCATGACACGATGGTGAAAATGCGATGAGCATCGTGCAAAGCGGGCTAGGGTAAAAAGCGGTTTGTGTGCTAATGTACTCGTATACGTGAACATGAGTGACATATTGTGGAATAATATAAACATGGGCTCATCATATATTGATTCTGTATTTAAGGTGTAAAATGTTTTTCAGCACCACTGTCGGTCCCGCATGCCGTTCACGAGGAGGTTGAATTTGAGGAGTTCTTAATTCCGAAAGATACAATGGTATTAACTCATCTACAGTCCGTGCACGTTGATCCCACGTGCTGGGAGGATCCTGATACATTTAATCCGGACAGATTTATCAAAGACGATAAATTGGATAAAAAAGAAGCATACATGCCATATTCAATAGGTAATAGCAGATAAAACAAATTCCATTTCATATAACAGATGAAACAAGATCCATTTCATAAAATACATTACTTTTCAAAATCATTATTTCATTGAAATCAATAGTACACAACATATTATAATCTCTTTAATCTCAGCATTTAATTTATTTATCTCATCCCACAGACAAACATAGCATGTACAACACTATAAGTATGAGTATTGAATATTTCAATGTATTGAACATCTTTAATCTTAATTAACAAGTTTGTGTTATATATTTCAGGATCGAGATATTGTCTAGCTGCCAAACTTGCTCAAATGGAACTTCTCATTACATTAAGCACTCTTTTGAAACATTTTAAATTTACTGATGGTCCGCAGACATTAATATATACACAGCCTGGTGCTTTCGTTGAACCGAAAACGTTCTGTGTAAAGTGGACGCCAGTTGAATCAGATAAATAGACAGAGTCTAAATCATAGATGGGATCTATAAACTTATTATGCAAACATGTTTAACACAGCCCTGAACTTACAGGCGCATATTTAGAATATGAAATATCGTGTCTATTCACAGATCTTAAGCTTATAGCTTCCTCTACAATCGAACTAAGTTCTGAATTATCTAAATAATTGAAATTATGTACAGGAAATCCATTGGTTAATTAACTAACCCTTAACTGGAATGTTATTTGATAGCTTTTGTTAAAGGAGAAAACTACCACGAGCTATTGCAGCTCTTGGTGTAATTCTTTTCTGCTTTAATGTGCAAAATATCTACATGTGTATATATCTTAAATAAAAAAATATGCTTAAACTTATGTTATGTCGATATGATTATATACATGTTTAATATCGTTATTCTAGGAATTCTAGAACTTGATCTGGAATTTATATTTGACTCAAGTGAATTTTATTAGTGTCGTGATAGCGCTTGCTAGTGGATTTTACTAGAGTCGCCAGCAGCGCATATGATTAGTACATTTTACTAGTGGCGCTGGCATCGCGTGTGACTAGTGGATTCTTCTAGAGTTGCGATAGCGCCGCTGCGTGTAACTAGTGGATTCTTCTACAGTTGCGATAGTGCCGCTGCGTGTTACTAGTGGATTTTACTAGATGCGTGGTAGCGCCAGATGTAACACGTGGGGTTTACTAGAGTCGCGGTAGCGCTGCGTGCGACGCGTAGATTTTACAAGATGCGTGGTAGCGCCAGGTGTAACACGTGGCTTTTACTAGATGTGTGGAAGCGCCAGGTTAACGCGTGGATTTTCCTAAATGCGTGGTAGCACCAGATGTAACGCGTGGGTTTCTACTAGAGTCGCGGTAGCGCTGCGTGTGACTTGTTGATTTTACAAGAGTTGCGGGAGCACCGCATGCGACTAATGGATTTTACTAGAGTCGCGGTAGCGCCGGGTGTGATCTGCTTTAGCAAAATTAATATGAGTCAAATGCAAGTGAGAGATGGAGATTTCATTATACACCTAAATATTGATATAACGCCAGCTATGTCATTCCGGATCACACTCCTGTGCGATTTTTATTATTCTGTTCTGTCGGGCCGTATTTGTGCATCTTATACATACTAGTACAATTAATGTAGGAAAAGAAATGAACAGTTTTATAACAAATATTCGCTGTGGGAAATGTTTTGAATATATATTGTATATCTTGTCATCGAGTAACGATTATTTTAGTCACATTATTATACAAGTGTGCTTCTGCATGAAACGGCAATCAATTAAACGCTATTGTAAGGGTTAGGGGATTTCCTAGTATTTTACTATTGTAGAATGAAGTCATGCACAGAAAGCATATGATTTCTCAGTACAACAGGTACTAGAATGTATTTATAACCGTATTGTTTTTCTTTCTTTGAATCACTTAGACATAATAGGTCATATGGCGACTACGTTAGTGGAGGAAGACCTAAGTTACCCTTCTGTGAATTATTTCAGGCACGAACAGACACCTAAGTAAAACCACCGACCTTCCGTAAGCTAGCTTGATAGCTTCCTCAGATGAATTATTCCAAAGTCCCCTCGGGATTCGAACCTACAGCGGTGATGAGCAAGTGGTTTTAAGTCAACGACCTCAACCACTAGACCACGGTTGCCTTTAGTGTGTACTAAAACATACATATGAGCGTCAGTTTGAGTCACGGGCATCTGCTGCTTTAATCATATCCAGTTACTCGTGTTTCACTAATTAATTATTTATAGATATTACATTGTGTTATTTTATTGTTGTCATGTCACTTCGATAAAATAAAAATATCTGTATTTACCTATCTTATTTGTTACAGAACATAATATAGGTTTGATATCGAGTGACTAATTAATACTTATTAGAAAATACACACGCCCACGTACGCACACACACGCTCACGCACATATATGAACACGATAACTTTCATGATATTTTATTTTTTGTTTTATAAAATAAGATACCAACGTTGCACATTATGTACTCGACTATGTACGATTTTATGACAATTGCCACAGCAGATATCCCGAGAATGACGTATATCTGGATCCACCAAGTCCTAGGTCACTGTTGTCCACTGTTCTAACCCATACCTGGTCACCTCTTGTCAACTAAATAACAACGCATTTCTTTATACAACTATACAACATTTATAATAACAAGAGCTGCCAGTGAGACAACACGCTCGACTGTTCATAAAAATAAACAACTGGATAATGTGTAACTCAAAATATGTCATTCAAAATCTGTTATAAATTTATAATTATCTAAGTTAGTAAAGGCCTAGAATCTAGTAAAATCCTTGCTACAGTTAGGGTTCTTAATATTGACCGGCACGGCTTAAAAGGCATCAGTTGCTGTATTGAATTCCGTTTAACGTTTTAAGCTAAAACTTTAACTTGAATGGTGATATGAAGAATTTCCAGCTGCGTTAATTTCCGTGTATTATTTCAGACCCGAGCAGGTACTTGAGTAGAACCACCTGTGTTTTTACATGAAAGGACCCAAAGATAGTATTCGAACCCACAACAGTAAGGGGCTTAACTTGTTTAATAAAAATCCAAATTACGTACTAAGTTGTTTTAATAAAAAGGCCTGAGTTATGAAGAAATGGTACAAGTTAATCCGGATATTTTCTTATCTATTTACCGTAGCAATGATTGTGTTAGCCCCCTGATCCCTGTACGTGGTCTCAGCATGTGCAAAAACTCGAGCCAATACATCATGGTTTCTCATGATTTCGCCGTGAATCATGACACCACCATGACCTCCTTTAGGTGTATGGTCTAACATGGAGCATGATAGAAGATATAATCCAGTATTGGGGGCCACAAATATTCCAGTATCATTGTTATAACCACCTCCATATTCCGTCAAGATTGTCTCGAACTTTATAGCCGTGTTTGCCTTCGTGTGGTCGACTACAGTTGGATCTATCACCGCAGAGAACGCGACTGGACCTTCACTGTTCAGTACAAATCGTCTTCTTTCATCTTTAATTCACAAAAATTAGTCATATTCACTAAATACACCTTCTATATGAGATTTTAATTTAACTCTCTTTAGCAAATTTTGTCATAAAAATATTCTGAAAATGTAAAATCCCTCAATCACACACTACTAATATATGAGGGCTGATTTAAGTTGTAAACAAACTGCATTACGAGATACGTTTTCTCCCGACTGACAAAGACCTCAAATAATATTTAGATGCATTAAAAAAAGCTAACGTCGAACAATAGTACTAATCAGTGCGTTGGCATCTACGTTAGGTCAATATCACGTTAAATGTTTGGTGTCCGGTTAACTTTCCCGACTGATCAGCACCTGTAGCCGTACACCATTGATGTATATGTAAATACATGTATTAGATCACCTGTAGCCGTACACCATTAATGTATATGTAAATACATGTATTTAGATCACCTGTAGTGTACACCATTGATGTATATGTAAATACATGTATTTAGATTACCTGTAGCCGTACACCATTAATGTATATGTAAATACATGTATTTAGATCACCTGTAGTGTACACCATTGATGTATATGTAAATACATGTATTTAGATCACCTGTAGTGAACACCATTGATGTATATGTAAATACATGCATTTAGATCACCTGTAGCCGTACACCATTAATGTATATGTAAATACATGTATTTAGATCACCTGTAGTGTACAACCATTGATGTATATGTAAATACATGTATTTAGATCACCTGTTGCCGTACAACATTAATGGGGGGCGTCCGTGGCCGAGAGGTTAAGGTCGTTGACTTCAAACCACTTGCCCCTCACCGCTGTGGGTTCGAGTCCCGACAGGGACTTTGGATTCTTGAGGAAGCTATCCAGCTAGCTTACGGAACGTCGGTGGTTCTACTCAGGTGCCCATTCGTGCCTGAAATAATGCACGGGAGGGCACCTGAGGTCTTCCTCCACCAGTAAAGCTGGAACGTCGCGATATGACCTATACTGTGTCGATGTGACGTAAAATCCAAAACAAACAAACAAACACCATTAATGTATATGTAAATACACGTATTTAGATCACCTGTAGCCGTAAACCATTTATATATGTAAATACATGTATTTAAATCACCTGTTTATATATATGTAAATACATGTATTTAGATTACCTGTAGCCGCACACCATTTATGTATATGTAAATACATGTATTTGGATCACCTATAGCCGCACACCATTTATGTATATGTAAATACATGTATTAAGATCACCTGTAGCCGTACAACATTAATGGGGGCGTCCGTGGCCGAGTGGTTAAGGTCGTTGACTTCAAACCACTTGCCCCTCACCGCTGTGGGTTCGAATCCCGACAGGGACTTCTGATTCTTGAGGAAGCTGTCCAGCTAGCTTACGGAACGTCGGTGGTTCTACTCAGGTGCCCGTTCGTGCCTGAAATAATGCACGGGAGGGCACCTGAGGTCTTCCTCGACCAGTAGAGCTGGAACGTCGCGATATGACCTATACTGTGTCGATGTGACGTAAAATCCAAAACAAACAAACAAACACCATTAATGTATATGTAAATACACGTATTTAGATCACCTGTAGCCGTACACCATTAATATATATGTAAATACATGTATTTAAATCACCTGTTAATATATATGTAAATACATGTATTTAGCTCACCTGTAGCCGCACACCATTTATGTATATGTAAATACATGTATTTGGATCGCCTATAGCCGCACACCATTTATGTATATGTAAATACATGTAATTAGATCACCTGTAGCCGTACACCATTAATGTATATGTAAATACATGTATTAGATCACCTGTAGCCGCACACCATTAATGTATATTTAAATACATGTATTTGGATCACCTGTAGCCGTACACCATTAATGTATATGTAAATACATGTCTTTGGATCACCTGTAGCTGTACACCATTAATGTATATGTAAATACATGTATTAGATCACCTGTAGCCGCACACCATTAATGTATATGTAAATACATGTATTAGCTCACCTGTAGCCGCACACCGTTAATGTATATGTAAATACATGTATTTGGATCACCTGTAGCCGCACACCATTAATGTATATGTAAATACATGTATTTGGATCACCTGTAGCCGCACACCATTAATGTATATGTAAATACATGTATTTGGATCGCCTATAGCCGCACACCATTTATGTATATGTAAATACATGTATTTGGATCACCTGTAGCCGCACACCATTAATGTATATGTAAATACGTGTATTTGGATCACCTGTAGTGTACACCATTAATGTATATGTAAATACATGTATTTGGATCGCCTATAGCCGCACACCATATTAATGTATATGTAAATACACGTATTTATATCACCTGTAGCCGTACACCATTAATGTATATGTAAATACACGTATTTATATCACCTGTAGCCGTACACCATTAATGTATATGTAAATACATGTATTTATATCACCTGTAGCCGTACACCATTAATGTATATGTAAATACACGTATTTAGATCACCTGTAGCCGGACACCATTAATGTATATGTAAATACACGTATTTAGATCACCTGTAGCCGTACACCATTAATGTATATGTAAATACACGTATTTAGATCACCTGTAGCCGTACACCATTAATGTATATGTAAATACACGTATTTATATCACCTGTAGCCGTACACCATTAATGTATATGTAAATACATGTATTAGATCACCTGTAGCCGCACACCATATCAATGTATATGTAAATACACGTATTTATATCACCTGTAGCCGTACACCATTAATGTATATGTAAATACATGTATTTAGATCACCTGTAGCCGTACACCATTAATGTATATGTAAATACATGTATTAGATCACCTGTAGCCGTACACCATTAATGTATATGTAAATACATGTATTTAGATCACCTGTAGCCGTACACCATTAATGTATATGTAAATACATGTATTAGATCACCTGTAGCCGTACACCATTAATGTATATGTAAATACATGTATTTAGATCACCTGTAGCCGTACACCATTAATGTATATGTAAATACATGTATTAGATCACCTGTAGCCGCACATCATATTAATGTATATGTAAATACATGTATTTATATCACCCGTAGCTGTACACCATTAATATATATGAAAATACATATATTAGATCACCTGTAGCCGTACACCATTAATGTATATGTAATATTCTCTGCCTTATATAATACAAAATAGTTGCTCTGCTATACCTTGCACCTTATATTATTAGCCATCTAAAAATTCCTAACACTGACATGCGACGTCGTCCGACATCAAACACTGAAGTTGTACCACCCCTTATACCGCTCGTGTCATTTGTAGACCAGTTTCTAATGCGTCCGGAGTTTGATAAAGAAATACATTTTGAGAAGCCCCCGTAATAATGATGCTGATGATAAAAATAATAACATAACAAAGGTTCTAAATACGTACCTATCGTGCTTTCTTTGTCCAACTGTTTTAACAATACTTCTTTATCATTCAGCCGTTTTAGCAACTCTTCGTTTTGATTCGTCAAATATCTGATGATCTCATCCTGTTCATTGTTTACTTTCTCTTGTCTCTGGACTGCATGATAAAATAAATAAATAATTAAATAAATAAATAGATAATAATAAATAAATAAATAAATAAACAAAGATTGAATGAACTTGAAAATTTCATCGACATTAAACGGCCCGCATACCTATATATAAATAACCTAATTAATACTAAAAGTACCTTACCTGTTTCATCTAGTGTAGACAACTTCTCTACAAGTGCAGAAAATATACCATCAGTTACTTCTAAACTTTTGCTGGGAGAGATGCAAATAAACAAGAGGAGTAAGAAAAACATGGCTAACGTTTCAATTTTAGAGTATATAAAATCACCAGCAGGTATTTGATAAGAAATTTAAAGTAGGTCATCAATTTGGTAATAACTTATTGTTAGACAATTATTATTTGGTTTAATGAAAAGCTGTTCATTTTATGTAGAAGGGATAATGTATAAAATGTTTTTGAATACATGGTTAATTGGCTTTTAAACTTTAAATAACTGGCAAAATTTCAATTAAATGTACTCAGAAGGGCCAATTGAACATATGGAATAATACTAAAGATTGTAAAATATTTTTAAGTTTATTTTATACACATAACGATTTTGAAATTTTCTGCAACGGCGTTTTATTGTACCTTTAAATAGGTGCCTTTTAAGGTTATATGAAAATATAAAACAGGTGAAAAATTAAACTGCAGAGTTTGAACTAAATATTTTAGATTAATTGTCAACATAATGTATCAAACAAAGTACACAATTTATTAAATAATAATAACTGTTTCTAAATGAGTGAAATATGATAATTTTGATGCCACAAGATGAAAATAAATCATGTATTTAAGGAAAAAAATTGAATTTTTTGTTTAATATACACATTTTTTTTGACATTACAATTTGAAAGACTTTCCCTTAAATATTGTGTACTGGCAGAATTTAGAAAAAGTAGTCCGAGACACCAGTGAATATACGGAAAAATATGTTTCACTGCAGTAAAAAATATTTTTTTACAGTGAAAATACGGAAAAAGAAAAGACATACTTTATTTTATCATTTTTTCGCAATATTTCATTCATAAGTATATAATAAATAATTTTTTTTAATTTGTATAATAGTCTCATCAATAAACACAATATAGATTACACTGAAACTGATGTATCTCTGATATATAATGCAAAAATTAAATAGGTGGATTCAAAAGGACTTAAGTATGATAATACTGAAAATACTCCACAATCTAATAGGTGTAATATATGTGTTTGATCAGATAAGAACACGATTTGATTAACAAGAAAACTTAGGCAAATACTGAAACATTAGGTATATTACACCAAGTGATTTTATAAACGCTAGGATAAGACCATTTAAAAATTCATATACACAATATAGGGTTTTATGTTATAAAACTAGTTTTCTTTTATTTAAGATATAAAAGGTATTGGCACTTAAAATTGCTACGTCTGTATCAGATAATATGTTAATGAGCTTATCAGTATCAGTTAAACTATTAATACCATTGTAAAAGTCTATTTGCTGATTGCAATATGGAGGACAATGTAAGAAAACATGTCCTTTCTCCTTAACTACATTCCTTCAGTATTTGCAATATACTCGTATTATATCTTCCTAGCTCAATACTACTTTTAAATTTCGCCGAGGCACCTAGCTCTCTATAATAAGATCTATTTAAACAATTCTAACATATTGCTCTGCTTCAAAATTAGTTTTAAAAGTTTTGTATATACAAGGAGTATTGTCACCTGGACATTCCGAGAAGAAACCCGGTTAACGTTATTACTCCATTCTTTAACAAAATGATCATAAATATTTGGCAGCATATTTCTACGTATTTCTCCCATGCATCGGACGACTGTTCCATTACCGTTCATATTCGAACGTTTGAAGAAACGAGTAGTGTATTCAATTTGCTGCTAAGGGAGCGTAATTTCTGATTGTTCTTTTGCATAAAGTGTATCATTATTACAAAATCAAATCTACTTTCCCTCTTAAACATTTTCTTACTGATTGTGTTTGTATTCATTTTAAGATATCTACACCAACTTCAAAACAGTTTTATATAATGAGTATGAAACAGGTTTCAAAGGTTTACAACCAATATCTCCAGAAGTTGCTTCATTTGGAGTATATCACTCAAAATTCAAAAAGTAACAAGCATCCCTATTTCTTGTCAGCGGGAAGTGAATATTTTGAATAATATTTGTAGGAGAAGATTATAGGTGAAATTATTGTGTATATGGGTCAAGGGTCAAGTCTATGCCAGAGTGGGATTATCATAAGATGTATCATTTGAAATAACCTGATCGTCAAATATAATTATGTACCTGTAAGAACATAAGTGCGTTAGTGTCATTGCCAAATAGAAGGGTATCATAGTAATTGAGTGAATATTTGAGGTATTTATTGTTAAGAAGATCGGCTCTTTGATTTGTTTAATCGGCAAACTATGGGAAGTGATCTGTATCCTTAGTCCATCACTAGCACAAGAGGCTGAGTTTGTACTGTTTTTAAGTACAGGTGCTCAGTGCATACGAAGAATTGCGTGTCGAATAGCTCTCTCTCTCTCTCTCTCTCTCTCTCCCTCTCTCCCTCTCTCTCTCTCTCTCTCTCTCTCTCTCTCTGTAAGAGGTTGTGTTTCCAACAAAATGAGTGATAAGGTCTGAAAAAAAGTATGACTCCAAGTGTATGATTTTATAAATGAAATTTAGCCAAGGAGCTCAAGGGAGTGGAGATTTATGAATGAAAGCAACAACAAGTGAGTGGTGACCAGGTCTATTTCTTTTGCGAAAGATAATTTTTTTTTTCGATGAACTGAAAGTTACAAGCTACTGATCGGCCCAAGAGGAAATGTTGCACAGATTTGCATTTGATCTATTATCAGCAGCAGCAGCGAGAGTGTTATCAACAATAAAATAAAGTTTTTGATATGAGATGATATATCAGAGACTTTGTCATTAATATGTACGAGAAACAGAAGTGGCCCGATATGGATAACTGGAGAATTCCCACTGAAATTTGCACTGTATCTAAATAAACACCATCATCAATCCGGTAGATAGCCCGGGAACCATTACAACTATTGGCCTGAAATGACACTAATATAGGGGTTGTAAAACAAACCACGATCCAGACTCTGTCATACGTCTTGAATATGACGCAGTGTACAGTTTTTAACGTATTCGATATATTTTGCACATGCTTAATGAAAGTAGCCAGCGTTTGTTATCTGACGAGAACAATAAAACACCAATTATATGCCAATAGCCTTTCCTTCGTCACATGACCATGCTGTTATCGGACTTTTAAATATATAAACATCAAATCTTCAAATTGTTCGACACGAACGTATAACTTAGAGCGTTTCTTGCAATCGATCGGAAGAAAAGAAAATGCAAATTCAGCGGTTTGAATCTTTACTGCTCTTGGCAAGTTTGTTTAATATTCAAAATGCTTTCTGTAATGAGGTATACGTAACACATAACATAGAAGACGTATTAAAAAGATTTCAACATTTGGAAGATAAAGGTAACTGGTAGGATGTTTTTCTCTTTATTTAATTTGTTAAAAAATCACATACGAATTGAGCACGAATGTAGCGTTTCTATTGTATTTGCGCGACTATCTTCAGTAGAAGTATTGTTTTATTTAAGCTGTCTATTTCAACATCTTTCTTATTCCACATCAAAGATAAATATGGCAGAGGGTTAATGCGCTTTTTCGTGCATTTACATCTGTAGATCCACGTTGACGCATTTAAAGCCCGAGTCTGCACGGCTAAGGGTTTCGTAAGTCCGAGTGTTTTCGAAGATGCATTAACGCAATTTTTGCATAAAATATACATCTTACTTGGTGATGCTGCGTTTCGTTTTTTTTTTTGTTTCACGTAAAAATAAACTTGGTTTGATAATATTTTTACGGAATAATGGGATCCTATTAGACATGAAACAACCGGGACCGTTATTACAATAAGCTATTTCTATATTGTACAACACGGCGCGCTTTGAACTGTTTAAAATGTATGGAAAACCTGCATGTTCAGTTTTTATGCGTGATTAATTGCTTATACCAAGATATTGCTAAACAATTTAAATATTATCAATATTTCTTTCATTTTCCAGTTGCAGCCCAAAGTACTGAAATTAGAGATCTTCGTGTAATGAATGCAAATTTACGCAAATCAGTAGCAGAATTGCAAGATAAAGGTTCTGAAAAGTGTAAGATTAATTCTGTATTTGTTCAAAAACTCTTTGAGGACTTAAATAGAGACATTTTAACCCATTCACTTAGCTTAGCTGGTAGAATGTTGGACTTGATTAAGAAGAATATACTTGTTTTGTGGGAGATTATGGGGTTCTTTATTGAATTGTAATGAAAAACAGCCTTTAGAAATCTTATGCTTAGAAACTAAAATGGCCAGAACTTCGATATGAGAAATCGCCTGAATTATTTATAAAAGTTATGGAAATCATGCCACTTCGGTCAATATTGCTACACTTAAATCTTCTTTGAAAATGCAACTTGTAGAATTTAGATGGCCCGGCAAGGGTAATTCATTTTATCTTTTCTTTGAAACTGCATGTCCTTAAAGACGTTTTCGGTAGTTTTCTGTGCGCATCGTTATGCGCTTCCAAGAAAGATAATCACGGATAATTACTCTTCAAATGAAGGTCAAGTCGAATAGTATTCGGATAAGTGTTTAAATTTCGGCTATAAGCAAATAATGAGTAAATAATACAGAATAGATATTTCTAAAAGTTCAAAAGGAGATCGGTTCAAAAGAATAAGAGGTCGTTTAGACAACATCACATAAAGGATTTCTCCAAGCATTAGTACGACAGTATTGATGATAATTCTGCGCGCGTTACCCCACCCACTTGTGGTATAGTGACGAAAGTGCGTCGCGACTTGATTATAATAATAATAATAATAATAATAATAATAATAATAATAATATCTTTATTTAAAGAAGGTTACACATTAAGAACATACAATAACAATCATATATATCTTATTTCCAAAGTGGCCTTCTGAAAAAGAAAACAACAACAACAACAACAACAACAACAGGACATTCATAGGTAGAAAAATGAATGTATAATATGTAATTTTTAGAATAATACAACTCATATACTTTCGACAGGCACTCAACAATTTTTGTTTAAACATATATGTATATTGCATCATTTGTTCGTTCGTTCATTCGTTCGTTCATATATTTATTCATTCATTCATTCACTCACTCATTCATTCATATGAACATCAAGATATGCTTTGTATTTTTCTTTAAAACATTTAAGGTTATTAACATTACGAATATTTAAAGGTATATTGTTCCAAATGTTCATGCCATAATAAGAAAATGTGTCTTTAATATAATTTGTTTTAGGTCTTGTCCATAATACAATATCTTTCCGTGACCTAGATCTTAAGTTATATATTTTGTTGTCGGATAAAGTCATCAGTTCTGTCATATATGTCGGTGCCATGTTATTTAAAGTTTTAAAAACAAGCACCGCCGTGTGGTATTTACATCTGTCAAGGAACGGTAACCAATTAAGAGTTTCGAATAGATTTGTTGAAGGAGATCTTTGAGGTTGCTGTAAAATGATTTTAGCAATTCGTTTTTGTAACTTACAAACATTATTTATGTAGTTTGTGTTTCCTTTACCCCATATAATACAACAATAGTCCATAATGGGCAATATATATGCATTGTAAAACAATAATTTCATATCAAAGTGCAAAAAATACGATATTTTTTTCAATAAGGCAATTTTTCCGTTAAGTTTTTTACAAACATTGTCAATTTGCAAGTGCCATTTTAAGTTGTTATCTATGCAAATACCCAAGACTTTTTGATCAGTTACATTTTCAAGAGCTATTTCATTTATCTTAAGAATTAATTTTCTCATAATATTTACTTTTTGTCTTGTTCCTATTACCATACATTTTGATTTATCTGGATTTAAGGCCATATTATTTATTTTGCACCATTTGTCAATGTTATTTAAATGATCTTGAAGTTTTATTTCTACTTTTGATATATTTTCTCCGGACTCATAAAGAGTAGAATCGTCTGCGTATAAATCAATTTTCATATCATTACCAATGAAAGCTATGTCATTTATGTATATTAGAAATAATAAAGGTCCTAATATTGAGCCTTGTGGAACACCGGAAATTATTTTCATTGTCTGAGATTGTAGATCACCTATCTTAACTAGTTGTATTCTGTTAGAAAGATATGACATAAAAAACTTAACGGCATTTTCAGAAAAATGATAAAGTTTAAGTTTATGCAAAAGTATTTCATGGTCAACCAAATCAAAGGCTTTCTTTAAGTCTAAGAATACAGTCCCTATAATTTTTCCACTGTCAACATCTTTTAACCAAGTATCTATTAAACTTATGAGTGCAGTATTACATGAATGATTTTTACGAAATCCTGATTGTCTATTATGAATAATGTTCGTTTTTTCAAAGAATGAGTGTATTTGTTTGGCAATATGGCGCTCAAATATTTTGGATATAGTTGACAAAATTGATATCGGTCGATAGTTATTTGCTTCATTCTTATCCCCCGATTTAAAAATAGGTATAACTCGAGCTCTTTTTAAATCATCTGGGAAAATATTAGCTGTAATACTTTTATTGATAACTGATGTTATTATTGGTGTAATATCATCTCCACAATATTTGATGATGTTTTGCCCAATTCCATCTAATCCTGTAGATTTTTAATATTCAGTTTTTCAATAATAAGTTTTACTTCAAACGGTGTGATTAATCCAATATTGAATTCATGATATATAAGCTTTTGGTCTAAAGTTTCTTTCTAGTTTGAAAAATTTGTATTTGAAAACTTTGTCTTATGTGTGACATTCGAGATATTGACAAAATACTTTTTTAATTCATTTAAAATATTAACAGTTCCGTAAATTTCTTTATTATCTGTCACTAGTCTGTCTGGCATTGTAATACAACCTTTTTTATTTAGATTTGAAACGTCCTTTAAATTTTTCCATAAAAATGCCGGGTCTTTGTTATTTTTAATAGCATTGTTAAAGAAATCTCTTTTACTTTTTTTAATCATTGATGTTATTTTATTTCTCAGCAATTTGTATTGTTCATGTTTCCCTACTTTATGATAGTAATCGCGTTCATGTATAAGATATTTTATCTCATCAGTAAACCATTCCGGGCGGTGTTCACGTTTGATACGTTTTTCTTTTATTGGTGCATGCTTTTTCAAGATAGTATTTAAAATGGAGTAAAATAAGCTAAGGGCTTCATTCGGATTTATTATGTGCTCGACTAATTCAAGATCGGATAAAGCAAGGTCTGTCTGAAAATCAATTTCATTGAAGTTTTTAAAACATCTATATTTAATCGAATTATGTTCTTTAATCAATCGGGTACTACATGCTTTCGTTGATCTTGAAATACCTATCGGATAATGATCACTTAATGGGGTATCAGAAACAAACGATTCAATAATATATCTGCTACTGTTTGTATAAACATGATCTATAATTTTTTGGGTACGTTTTGTTATCCTAGTAGGATCTGTGATAAGCTGTTTCAAACCATATTTCGTTATCAAATCTCCCCATTTTGTATTGTCATATTTTTTCTTTTTATTCATTGGATAAAAGTTTATATTGACATCTCCTAGAATATGATATTCTATATTTGATATATCTATTATACTAAGTTGTTTTTCATAATCGTCAATCCAAGATTGGTGTACATTTGGTGGGCGATATATAAAATTTAAAAGAAAAGGTTTGCAATTTGGGTAAATAATTTCCAACCAAACAGATTCTAATTCGTCCGTTTCTATATCGTAACGGCGCCGATATGGCACCTTGTCAGCAATATATATTACAACTCCCCCCTTTTTGACAACTTTTACGGTCCTTTCTTTCGTGTGTGAAATTGTTAATATTTAATTCATCGTCTGTTGTATCATCACCAAGAAATGTCTCAGTAAAGCCGAAAATATCTGGCGAATTTAATTTGTTTAATAGATTGTATTTTATTTCGTCTATTTTAGGCATTAAGTGATTAACATTAAGGTGTGCAATATGTAAACCTCGTTTTTCAAACTTAGAACTGAACAATTTATTATCTGGAAAATTTGATTTATGGAGCGTAACATTATTTAGTACTTTGCAATTATATTCATCATTTCCGTATTTAATGTATGGCACTGATTGTTCAAAAGTAACAGTTTGATTACCAATAGTGTCTATTAATTTTCGTTCTTTAACTATCAAATCGATAATTTTTCGCGTATTTAAACATATATGTAAAATATCAATTGTGGAATACAACATAAAATCGTAACATACATTATGAATTGATATATAAGTTTGAAAATCGCTATAAAGATCTTGTTTTAACATAGATTTATAAGTAGTTACCTCATTATGAATACAATTGTATGTTTCAAATTGTTGATTTTCAAAATTTGAGTGCCTGTCGGATATTTCCTAATTCCTATTTATTCTGACGCTATTCTGTCCATAATAACAATTTTCAATTTCGGGTCTTCTGTCGTATGCAAATACACTTCCGGTTCTGGTATTATCAGTATTATTAAGTGAAGTCTCACTCCATGAAGTTTGGTCATGGAACCTAGGTCTAAAAAAGTTGTGAACCTTTTCATGTCTGTTTAAATTATAATGTCTGTATCTCGGACTGACTGCACCTGAGTTTTCTTTTCCATTGTATCTCGGCCGCATTTCTCCATTAGCATGATTCAATTTCCTTTTTACGATGTATACGCACCGATTTATTGCTGCCACAAGTGTTTTGGATCCATATTTATTGTGATGTATCCCATCTCTAGCTAAATAGTGCTTCACTATGCTACCATCACCATAAACGAACGATGAATATGCGTCTATAAGTTCAGCACCTGTTTTAATACAGATGTCCCTTACATTTTTGTTGTATAACGTAACATCAGCGTCGAGTCGCGGCGAAATCGTGCAGAGATGCACTTTACATTTGTGATGTTGAATAGAGCGAGTGAGCTCTAACAGTTTTGAATGTGACGCATCAGGGCGTTTTCCTGAACTGACGTCATTTCCCCCGACAAAAATAATGACGTGTTTGTATGGTGTCAAATCTAGTTGGTTGATTTTACGTTCGATGTCTGTCAGAATGGCACCGCTGCATACATATCGATCGACCTTATCATCTAAACCTTTAGGTTGTATTCCTCTAACGATGGAGTCACCAATCAGAAGTGTTCGGTCCCTATTTGGAAAAAGGCCAGATTTTGGAGAATTTTCCTTCATTGTTGAATTAAAAGACCCAATAATGATATCCTGGCTGCTGTCTTCTTGTGATGATTCCCTGTCTAGACATTCTGCCGGTGGTACAACTGAAGCTGATTACTGGCAGACAACTGGGCAAAGAAGTTTAAAATGATATATTTTAAAAGTGTTAAAAGAAATTTTTATTACAACATGTTTTTGTTGTATATTTGACAATACATTTAGTATAACACGGATATTTCTTAAGAAAGCGTGGTAATTTTGACAGTTGGCATATGCGGTAACCATGGAAACTGCCCATTTACAAAAAAACTAACACGTCAACATATATATTTTATTTCTATTTTTGAATCCACCATCAAATGTTACTTGATATATCAATAATGTAGAAAATTCTATAAAAGAAATTTCTTGATAGCTTTAATTTTTTACAGAATTCGTGTTTATTTTTCTCATTTTTTGTTTAGTTAAAAAGCATGAAAACTTATTTTTTTAAAGAAATATGCTCCAATTATCGTTTATTTTATACAGAACCCTAAGATAAAGCAAGCTTTGATAGTTCTGCCTGGTAGATCTTTTCAAAATTCATAAATCATGATCCTGAGATTTAAATTGCTCTGCCCGGGGGAGTAATATAATTTACATAGACTTATGCAAACACCTTTATAAATGTCAAGAGCTTAGATATTTGATATAGCGCATTGTATAATAGACTCTTACAAAAGTGTAAAATCATTACCCTTGATATTTTTAACGATATGTTAGAAAAACTCATTTAAATTTCTCGAGTGAATGTACTTAAACTTAGATATTTGGCAGTTATCTTTTTCTATTAAACCAAGTGAGTAGGTACACAGTCAGAGCTATGAAGATCGAACGTTAAGGCTATAAGTAAGTAGGTAGAGGACCGTAACTAAGTTGGTGGATGCTATGTAGATAGAGTTTTACCAGTTAATCCGGTGCTAGGGGTGGGGACAGTAGTTTGCGCTTGACAGTACCGTCCATGAACAGGCTCAATCAAACCGAGCTTGCAACATTTTCAATTTTGCCCTGTTGGGCTTTCTTTAAGGAACTTTATTTTCTCTTTTTTACGTATGTAGATGTTAAGAAAAAATAGTGTAATTAACATAAACATTAGAAGTAAGAAAATAAAGCTTTAGCAAAGTTAAAACAAAGCAAACTTAAACATCAAAGAATTCCTTTAACACGCTTTATCAACATGAGACTTCATTTATCCTGCTTACAAAGCCACATGCGGGTATGTTTTCAAGGGCTGCGACATTTTAAGTTAAGATGATAAAAGCATTCTAAACTGGACTGTATTAAACATCACACATGCATATTCATCCCATTTTATGTATCATTTACTCTCTTATTCGTTGTTTGTAGATCAACCAAAGCGTTTTGTATTGAACGATGAAGGACCAGTAGCATTCACGGCAGCTATTAAACCATTGTTAGTTGATCATGTCAAACATATGGACACGATAAAGTTTGAAACAGTGATAACGGATATAGGGGGAGGCTACAACAACCAGACAGGCGTGTTCGTTGCTCCACAAACAGGTATCTACATGTTCAGTTGCTCCTTGATGGATCATGTGGCACCAAGTGGTGTCATGTTACATGCTGAAATTGTACACAACCAGCGTGTACTTGGCCGAATATTCGCTCATGCTGAAGGGACAACTTATCGTGACCAGGGTGCCCAGACAGTGTTTACACACGTTAACCAAGGCGACCAAATATTTGTGAGATCAATTGACAACCCGGATCTTGGACTTGGTGGAGAATTATATTCAACATTTTCTGGTTACTTGCTTCTTGCAATGTAATAATATCTTCATTAATAAAAATTGAAAATCAAAATGTATTGGTGTGTTAAAATGCTCCGATAAAATTTGAATATGATATTGTTCTATAAATGAACACATTGTTGGCTATTCATTTAGATAATCATAATAAAACTAAAAATGTGTCGACACGTCACGGATGCCCCCGCATGCAGCCAAAATTTCAGATGTTACAATATTTAGTTCCAAATTGGTTTGCATTTTAAGTTCAAAGCCCTTAAAACTATTCAATGTAAACAAAAACCATTTTTATACAAAGTTCAAGGTACTGAAACTTTTCAGTGTTAACCTTTTGTAAATTGCACATTGCACATTTGTAGCCAAAATAATAACTACATACATTTCTACAAAAGTATGAGTGCTGAAACTAAAAATTCAATTTTTTTTCAACATTCAAGAGAGATAACTTTGTTCAAAATCATTGAACCACAACCAAATTCGAACTTGAACTGCTTATTCCTAAGATGTATGTATATGTCAAATTTAAGTTGAATGTGTACAACCATTTGGGTGTTAACGAACGGAAACTGAAACTTTCATATTATTTTTAAAGTGAAAGAGGCATAACTCTGCCAAAAATCATCAAACCATGACCAAATTCAAACTTGACCTGTGCATTCTTTGACGTATCCATATGTCAAATTTGAGTTGAATGTGTAATACCATTGGGGAGATAATGAACGGAAACTGAAAATTTCATCAAGGGGCTTAACTCTTTCAAAAATCATCGGACCATAACCAAATTCGAATTTGACCTGTATTTCTCATGATATATCCATATGTCAAATTTGAGCTGAATGAGTGCAAAGGTTACTAAGATAATGAACGGAAACTGATGATGACGGAATGACAGAATGACGGAATGACGAAAGGACGGAATGACGGAAGGACGAAATGACGGAATGACGGAACAGGGTAACACTATATGCCCCGGACATTATATGGCTGGGGCATAAAAAGATGATGATCATTACTTATTCTTATAAAATGAATCGAACAATTGCAAATTTATTTTCTAATGTTGAAAACTTGCCACCACACTTTAAAATATTCATGTCCTACTTACATGCTGAAAAAATTAACATTATTTTACAGAAGTCCCTAAAAGCTTTCAGCAATAATTACTGTCAAATGTGACAATGTCACTTGCGATAATTCATATAATTTTTTTGACATGGCCATATGTAATGAAAGTAAAATTACCGAAGTATTATATTCCATGAAATTTGATTTATTGAGGTCAACTATTTAAAAGATTTTTGAATATGCAGGACAAATTATCTGACATGTGTTTATAGGTAAGACTAACGTCTGATATATAAGGAAAATGATTGTAATCTGTAACGAAATGAAAAACCAAATATTCAGTAATTACAGACACTGGTTTTAATTGAACTTATTGAGATACCATTATGTTCTACAGATGATACACATGTACATTTGTCAAATCTTTGTCTAGTTTATCAAAGTTCAACAACGAGATGAGATCAAGGACTGGCTTATATACATGGCTAACTGATAAGGCTCGATGTAAAACACCAGTCAATGGTCATATCAGGCAACAGTACTAAACATGATGGCCGTATATAAATGTATCATCCTAACACTGGCAAGCTTCACATATTGTTATGCCGTGTTGGACTCGGAAACATTCCAGAATACCGTTCTCGACAAGCTAGAAACTCTAGATAATAAAAGTAAATATGAAATTTTATTTTATTTTATACGATACAGTATCTATTTTCAAGATTATAAGTTTACGCTATGTGTGTTACATACCAAAGTGAAAAATAGTTAAACAAAACGTTTATTATATATTTTCCTAACATTATTAAGTGTTATCAAAATGTACTTTTATCAGATAAGTAAATTGTTGTTTTATGAGTTTATTTACATAAGGTCACATATGTTAATGCCCAGTATGCCCCAAAATATTACTTATTTTCTTGTCTCAAAATCTTTGAAGTTTGATATTCTCTTACAATTTCCGAAAAATAAAAACAACTCAAAAGCTAAAGAGACTGTATCGTTTATTTCTTTTTTGCTGTTTTCCAATAAGTATATTTAAAATGAAATAGTATTGTTTATAATATATCTATACATTTTCCCCTAAAATACATGCAAATTTTGAAGCGCGAATACGCTTCAGAATATAAAACTCCGTATTATGTTAGTGACAAATACTGTACCAAATATGGAAGTACCGGATTATTTTGCACGTTGGTTTCTTTCTTAGTTGTCTGTTACGTTGCAGTTGGAAACGGTAAGTAAAACTATTCACGGCGTGGTCTCTTTGCAAAAATTATATATTTATCCGTCATTCAGAAATTTTATTTATTAACAGCTATATATTTACTAGTAATGTAGTTTCTGAAATATCTAATAGAAAATTGGTATACTGAAACTCTTTTTGTCTTAAAACGAATAGGTCTACATGTTCACTTGTACTAGAATTATAAAAGGATAATTAAGTTGCAGTATTTTTCTGGCACTTTATATCATCGTTGGAAAATATTTATCTCGCGAGACGGAAGGTGTCTGGCCTCAGAAAGCTCTTACAACATTATTTTATTATATACATTGCGTTTAAAGACAAAAAATGTTTTAATTAACTTTACTTCTATTAGTTATATAATGCTGTCAAGAAATTAAATTTACAACTGACGGATAAATATGTATTTTTTGCAAAAGATGCCACGCCTTGTAAAGCTTTACTTATCGTTTCTAACTGCCACGTAATACAGCTTATATTAGAAACTAGGTGCAAAATAGCCTGGTACTTCCATATATGGTAATAATTAACTCATATAAATTAAGTAACTAATTGAAGTTAAGTCTACTGAAACATTTTTTAAAACTTTTTTTACTTAAAGCCTATATGTATATAATAAAATGATAATTATGTTGTAATATCTTTCTGAGGTCGTGTATTTTGCTACGAACATCCTTGGGATATTATATTCTACTTGACCGTCTGTCTCGCGAGATGTCAATTTTCCAATGCTGCTTGTAGCAAAGTACAAAACACCAGAAAGCTACAACAACAATGTAACAGTTTTTTCTATAATGTTTTATTTAAGTGAAATGTATATATAAAATGTTGACGTAGATTTTTTTCTCTTTTTCAGTTGCCTTGCAGAAAGTGGTGATTGATAATCAGCAATCAATTTTACATTCATTGTTAACTGGCTCCTTTCAAGCATATGATGAACGTAAAGGTAAATTTGATACATGTTTGATTTTTTTTCTCATACTTCTATAATGTATCATTTTCTAACAGATGTTTTTATAAATCTAAAACTGAAATTTTGAAAAGGACATATCACATTACGATAAGCATTTTGCAAAAATTCGTTAAATCAAGCTAAATGACCAAGAGCTGAAAACCCCTTCTATGGAATTGTAACTGAATATGACATAACTGTTTCATACGATAGGATTATAGAAAAGTGTATCAAATGAAAGTTACTGAAACGTGTCTTTTTCTTTCAGTGGACGGTATTGATCGTAAAGAACGGTTCCTGTTAGATGGTAATGAAGGACCTGTTGCTTTCACCGCCGCAATAAATGCACGTGTAGTAGAGCACGTGGGGCTTAACGAAACCGTCAAGTTTGACACGGTGATAACAAATGTAGGGAATGGGTTTGACAACACTACTGGTGTCTTCACCGCTCCTTTGCCAGGGATCTACATGTTCTCTTGCTCCTTATTGGACCATATGGATGGTGTTCACGGAAATGTTAAACTACATGCAGAGATCGTGCAAAATGACAAGGTTATTGGACGAGTGTTTGCGCATGCGGGGGATAATTACAGGGACCAAGGAGCACAAACGGTCTTCGTTAGAGTAAATCAAGGGGATCGTATATTCATCAGAAGTGTTGACAACAAAGATCTAGGAATCGGTGGAGAATTATACTCTACTTTCTCCGGATTTCTTATGTCACAATTATAAAAATGTTGCTTACTCTACCTTCTCCGGATTTCTTATGGCACAATTATAAAATGTTACTTACTTTAACAAGTTTTACTTCTTTGCATAAAACCAAAATGTATTGATAATGACATTATGTTTTATATAAATATCATCATCTTCTAAGAAATATTCTAAAGGCGAAATACAAATGCGGAAAAAAATAAGAAAACACTTTCCCAAAAACGCGTAACGAGAAAATAATACACGCAGTAATGCGACTTAATAAAGCCAAATAAATGACAAATTAATGCCAAACAGTTTTCAACGGAAGCGTCCTAGTACCATAGTCTGAAATTTTCATATTCTTATGACTTGTAGTAGAAACTATCTTATATGCATGTCTTAACTAATGATCATGTTTAAAAACTAGTTTCCTCAGTAAGTATAAGAAATTTAACAAAGCAGATACATTCGTTGAAAATGAAAACCAATTTGCCTTAAAAAATTTTCGCTTGCATAAATGTGTTTTTTAGAACGGAGAGAAACCGATTAATACAGTAAGTTGACAATGCTATACCACTGCACGGAAAATCTACATAACACAACGCCGTGTCAGCAGCTATATCGCGGATAAAGTAAATAAAAGGGTAGATTCGTAATCTATATAAGTGTTTCAAACAATGTCTGTACTGAAATAAATCTTTTTCAAGTACAAATACAAATACTTAACTAAATGTAATCCGGTCATTTGTCAACATTAATTGATTATTCAGATCTAAAATATTAATAGTCGCTCCGGTACAATATATAGACTATTTCTATAGAATATAATTCATAGAAAATAAAGGAAGTTATCATTTATTAAAACGATATTTTACATTTAAAACAATACATTAAACGTGTATAAGTCATTACGTGCGTAGATTACAGTTTTAAGTGAACTACTTAATTTAGTCGATATTTTATTTACATAATAAAAAACTCTTTGAAAATTACTAATCGATTATACTATATATGTGTGACGTTAATGGTGAATATTATTTAATAATGAGGATATGGATGTGTGTTCTACTTGCAGTTATATTAAATGATTTTGAAAGGTTATATGACCTGATATGGTGGTGCCGTCCGAGATGTAGAGCAAACAAATGCCCCCCACCCCCCTCCCCCGAAAAAAAAAACAACATCAAGAAACAACCATTAGCCACTTACAACAACCACAAGACCCCCCCACCAGAAAATAATAAATAACATAAAAAAATGAATAAAATGAATAAATAATAAACAATGAATAAATAGAGGATATTCAAGTTTCTTTTATAAATACAGGATTAATTTTCATCGAATGGTATGAAAATAAATATTTCTAGAGTGGCAGTAGCCACGAGTGTAATATAATAATTTTCATACCACAAGATGAAAATAAAGCCGATATTAAGAAAAAACTTTTCTGATTTTTATATATACTTTTTCTCTTTTCCAACCTTAAGAATAGGAAGAGTTCCCTCTTAATTTTGTGTATTGGCTGAATTTAGAAGAAAGTGAAAATACGGAAAAACGTGTCACTGTTGTCAAAAACAATTTTTTACAGTGAAAATTTCATTTCATCAATTTTTCTCTTTTTTTTTATTTATAAATATATAATAAAAATAAATGAATAGATCATACAAAAATAAGATGAAATTAATAAATGGAAACCGTTCATACATTGTCGTTTAATTAATCTGCCATTTTCCTTAATAATTTTCAATAATTCACGTTTGGTATTGGTAATATTACGTCTACATGTAAAATTAACGACAATATCATTATCCAAATAAAATCAATCGATTTAATCAAAAATATGATAAACAAGATCAACAAGGAAAGGCGGCGTTCAATGAACGCAACCCCCATATGACCCAGCAACAAGAACCAATGGCAAGGAGCCCAGGCGGACCCCAAACAAAAACAGGACAGGGCAAAGACAGAGCACGGACAGGTTAATCATTAAATGATAAATAATTTGTAATTGATTAGGAATTCAAAGAAAATAATAGTAGGTCCACAAAGGGGAAGGGGACAGGAGACCGGGGGGGGGGGGGGGGGGGTTAATCAAAGAAATAAAAACTAGAGGCAATGGGGAAGATACTTACCGTAGACGAGAAAACAACAAGGGACACAAGTAAAAGTGTCACCAAAACAGTATTAAAAACATAATAGACATACATCTGAAACCTGAAAATAAGAGCATAATATCATAACTATGTTTTTGTTGATACATGTATTAATAATTCTAAAAGTGATCTTTTATGAACTTTAAAACTTAAGCATATTATTTTCATTATTAATTTGGTGAATTTTGATTATACGAGTACAGTGTCATTTGAATTTTTATCTCCAATTTTTGGAGCTATTAAAATGACACATTCGGCGGGGTCTGTTTTTTGTGTGTTTGTCACTTTTTCAGTAATAATAGCTATCCTATTACACTCAAACGTAATGAAAATAGTAATATAATATATGGTTGTACCTTATAGTGTACTACATATGCGACATATATTTTCAGGTCAAAATATCAAAGGTAAAGGTCAGCGTGACCTGTTATATTAAAACATTAATTTGGCATTTGATCAAAATGCACTGACCTATGAACTTCAAACTTTGCATGCAGATACACCTTGCTATACTCATTTTGATCAAAATATAGAACTTTTATCTCCCCTCTGAGATGCGAAAGAGTCTATCGTTTGTCATTCTGTGCTTGTTTTATGTCATAAACGATATCTCTTTCTAAACATACAAACGCACTTTTACCTTTATATAGCTTCACGGTATTGTCCAACAATATTGACCTGGCAATGAATTATCTTTCATAAAGGTCATTTGAATAAACACTACCCAGTATCTATCGAATATATCGATATATTTGCTAACTTCACTCGTCAGTGACGTGTGGTGTATTGGTATAGATATCGGACTCTGGTTCGAGTCTTACCAACACCACGTTATGATTTTTTTAAAATTGACTTGCAATAATTAATTTGAAATCGTCTTACTATACCTGGTTTTAGAACACCTTTTAATAGGTGTTTTAAACATAACGTTTCTCTATGTGATAATATGCAATCGTATATGCTTAAACACATTCACGTTAGAAAGGCAGTTTTTAAAAAATACCACATAGTTAGTACACACAACGAATAATAATAATATCTGTCATATTTTGCGGTTCGGATCGGAATATCCGTCCCGAGGTGACCGAGGGACGGATATTCCGATCCGAACCGCAAACATATTTTTTCTTGCATATTCTACCATTATACCATTATATTTTAAATTCTTTATCTTTATTTTCAATGAAAATTTATATCATTACAACCGTAACTACTTTCATTCAACAGCGTATGAATTACAAAATCATTCATAACGGTAAAATGACGTCATCTTTATCGTGCCATTGTACAGCACGCGACTCACTGGAACCCCCCATGCCAGATGAAATTTCCGGCATGGGTAAAACTAACGGAAACGCCAGTCTGATATGCAAGAAAAGGTTTGCAATATTTTTAAGAGAATTTAGAATTTATCGCTGAAATAGGATTAGATCCTACCAGTGTACGTCTACATTCTTCAAGTGAAGATGGCACTTTACCAACTGCGCTAAAAGTTTTTTTTTTAATTTATACCATTTGAGCAATTAGATATTTACATTAATATAGATTTACATTTACAAGTAGATCGTAACGTTTACGGAACATACACACTATATAGGGTCAAATGCAAGTGTGCCATGTCAATGTTATTTGATAATACACTACCGTTCACAACCAGTAGACTGATTAAAAAATTTTTAACCAGCAATTGCTATAGTTTTGTCTACATAAACACATTTTTAATTAATCAAAACATGACATCAATACTGATTTTTTCTTCCATTGTTCATTTATCACCATCACATTTACATTAATCGGTTGTACTTTTATGATATAATGGGTTGTCTTATACTTAACCTGTTCAATGCGAATGTGTGTATAACTAAAAATTCTCAAATAGAACAAGTAGAGATTTTGATGCTAAAGCATCAAGTCGCCGGATAGAAATATGATTGTATTATCATAACTAAAAGAAAATATCAGTTTAATGGTTCGAGTATAAAGAAAATAGGAACAATAAGTTGAGTAATGTTTATTCAAATTCATGTTATGTTATAATAAAACATCATATTTGAAGCAAACTTGCTTAGCAATTTTATCATGAAACTGTTATCATTATAAGATAAGCAAGTATTGTTTGGCAATTTACCCGAGACTTTTGGGAGCTGTTTCGTTAGCTTACATAACTTATTATGATAAATGTTAACGATTTTATTGTAAGTATAATTACATGTATAATTATATCAATTAATACTGCTCGATGGCCTTGTGGTTAGTATGAGGAAATTGTTACATACGATATAGTTAACGTTTAATTGCCTTTCAGTGCGATAGACTATCAACACAAGGATTGTTTATTAGTTTTCTCTGTGTATCCAATACGATTCCGGCCCCTACTTTTCATACAAAATTACTCTGATTTGCACTTTAACCAGCTGCTAACAATTCACAAGTTACCTATGCGTCAGTCTTATCAGCCATCTTTTACTATTAATAGATTTTATAACAGTAACATATTACGTGTAGTCACGTGATTCTGGGAGAAGCTGTTTATAATAATAAGATAAAAAATAGAATAGGTCTCATAACATACAAACAACCAGATAATTTAAAAGTGTCATTTAAAATATCATGCGTGATTTATTTATCATAAAATAGCAGCGCTTGACACTTTGAAAAAAGGAAAAACATCCCTCAATTCAATGACTGATCCACAGGGATACGTCATTAATTCATTTCATAAAAATTGTAAAGTTGCCTTTTACGATGTCAATATTTGAATATTTCATTTCCTTGAGCAACATTATTGTATGTTTGAATTTTTGAGATTACTGAAAACAATTGTAGTCTTTAATTGTTCAGTAATTGTTATGCTTTTATTTTCAGATTTTAATGCCTTCTCCTACCATAGATATAATATTAAACTGTTACAAATATAGTCGCCGGTTTCTACCGGCAAGTAATTATGTGAATGAAATTCACGCGGAACTAAAATCCAGTTTGTTGTAAAA